TAACTTTTCAGACAAGGAAGGGCTAAGCCTCCACCATCCTTGGCCAGCTGTAATGTTCTTAATTTAACCCTTGGTCTTTTCCCTTGCCAAATGAATCTCGAAATTAATTTATCCCATTCTATAAACTCTTTATCTGTCACCCCAACCGGAAGAGTGGTAAAAAGAAACATTAATCTTGGTAACACATTTGTCTTAATCATTTCTATTTAACTTTAGTTATTTTCATAACTTTATTTTTTACTTTTTTTGTAGCACATTGAGATAGGCTACTTATGTGAAGTGCACTATAAATTGTATTTAGGATTATCATTGATATGTTTTAAATAATTACTATCGTTATTACCTCCAACAACATCACTATTATCCTCATCTCTCTTTTATTATCACTCTTAAACTACAAGCATCCCACTCAATATGCTCATTTAAAGGGACAACCAGACTTTTGGTAGATTAGCCAAAACACGCCCACTTACTGCAAACGCAAAAACATTTTTCAGTTTTCAATTTAACATCCTTTGTTTGGAATCTTTTAAGATCCTTTTCCAAAAACAAGAAAACAAACATATTTTTCTTTATAAGAATTATAAGAAACATACAATCCTCTGATTTGATCAATTGTGGGGTATCAGAATGAAAATGAGTTATGAATAGAACAATTCTTACTTTCTTTTGTGGGTGTCATCCTATCTGACTCCTGTAAATCTGCCATAGAGATCCCGTACACCAACTTGAGCAGGTGCTTCCTCTCCTTTTCTTGAGTCAATACAAGCAGCTGCAGCTCTGTGCTCTGACAAAGTTATAATTTCGTCAGTAATAAGAAAAGATTCTGCAGTAGCCTACTATTTTACAATTACTTTAATCTACCCTAAAAAAGGGAAGATACTTTAGAAAATAAGAATAAAAGAAAAGTCTCTTAATGTACAGAAAATACACCCATTCATTGGCTGCTCTGGAGCAGGTACCTGCTCTAGTGTCTCGAAGTGCTCCTCCGCTTCCTCTCCTCCATCTACACTTTGTAGCCACAGAGTAGTTTGTTCTGTCCTGCAAGGCCTGAAAACTTGGGGCCTAAAAAAAAAGTTTAGGTTATATGAGTAAACGTGAGAAACAATGTTGAGAATTCAAATGTAAACAGGAACTGCAGTTACAATGTTCTTCATCAAACAAAAACAAAAAAAAGAAAAAGAGATGAAACAAGTTGCCAGAGGAAAACCTGAGTTTCACCCATTTTTTTTTTCTGGTTTTGACCCGTTTTGTCCTCCTACACACCTGTTCCTGTTTAAATAGTTTTGGAAATTCACCATGACTCCCAGGATTGACGAGATGCTAGCAGTGCGCTGTAGGAAACTTTCTCCCTCTGAGCTCTATAAATCGCCAGAATGATGTGAAGACACAACAATTGCAGACTTTCATCACACAATCTGGAAGGAAAGAAGATTCATTGATTAACTCCTGTCCACGATTAATACTTGATGCATTGTATAATTTTTCATTATCGGTGAAGTGGAGGTAAACTCAAATGCATTTTTTTGACTTTTTGTTTCCACAAATAAAAATCAGTAACGTGTGACATGCTTTTTGCCCCTCTAATCTAAAACCCTTATATAAATAAAGAGGTTTGTAAAAGAACATAAGAGTGAAAACAGCAAAGTCGGTGATGAAGATGTTTCAAGTAGTGATATATATCCTAAGCTTTGAGCAGGACAAGAGTTAAACCAATCATCTGAAAATCTAAAGGGTATGGCTGAACTGCAATCCTACCAAAAACATTATCATCCACCCAAGCTGACATGAGGACAAGATTATCTTTATCTGAGAAGAAAATAAAGGGTTCAATATACCTCTGTGAATGTGACCCAGAGACCCATAGCTTGGGTGGGATAATTTGTCCAAATACCAACTGCATTCATGAACTCATACTTGTATAAAAAGGTGAGGGAAGAAGCCACCATTGACGGAAAATCATAGGTTACCATTCAGAAATAAAGTAAATGTGCAGAAAATCTCTGGACAAATGATACCAAAACTTCAAAAAACAATGTCTGCATATAAGGTTGGAAACTGTACATAACCCTGAACTTTTTTTAAGCAGGGCACATATGCCTGGTGAGAGTTGATAGGAAGATCAATCAGAAATGAGCAGAGAATAGCTGAGATTAAATCAAATTCAGGTGTCAGAATGACTCTCGGTCAAAGCCCAAACCTAAATGTAGAAAACAGTCTATTTTTCTAGATTTACAATGACAATAGAGGCATACTTCAAAATAACAGGAGTAACATTGCAAAGTATGTTCTCTGGGGGTATTAATGCAATTACAGTGTCTCCTTTTTAGCGTTAGATTAAAAATATATATTTAACCATGTGTCCTAATTGTTCCTTTTTTTAAATAATTTACAACCTTGCGTTTCCTTAGTGGTTGTAATAAGAGAAAATTCATCAAATTATCTAAGAAGTTCTTCTCAAAATAGAGACATGAAATAAAGTCATTATTTACCTTTGGCCCAGAACCATCAGCTCATTTTGTTCTTGTTGACAGAAAGTGTGTAACTCCTTCAGGAGAGCAACAGCTGACCAGGACTGGTCCAGCTTTGAACACCTTGTTCTGCAGCGGGGCAAACACGGGAAATACAGTACCAACATTAATGGATAAAAAACATATCAAACTTTTTTTCTTTTTTACTTGAATTTTTACTGTTTTCTATTTAGCTTTAATGAACTTTATAGCAGATGATGCAAAACATGTTTAGAGACAAAATATAATGGTGATATTTTTTAAAACAATGGAACAGATGAGGTTTGTATGGAACATATGTAAAACACCATTACAATTAAAGTTTCACATTTTCTTATTGTCTGTATCAGGTTTGTTTTATTACTAAAATGAGGTGAAACATGCTTTAAAATCCTAAGCAGATTATACCTATTATTTTTTCCCTTTTTTTCTTTTGCAAAGTTTGCTTTTTTAAAGTAAAATTATTATAAACATACCAAACCTTTGAAACTTATAAAGTCAAATAGAAATGTGTTTAAAACATTCCATACCATCAATTCAAATTGGCCACATTAATGAAGGATTCTGTCATTTTACATGCACTAACACAGAGGAATACACCAAATACAAAATTTATATATATATATATATTTTTCTTTTTCAAAGGGTCTACATTGTCTAAGGCAGTATGCAGAGAAATAGCAACCCAATCAACAAAATCATCGAATTGCGAAGGGGAATAAACTAAACTGGTGCCCCCTGCAGCACTTCTCAGCGACACAGAGGAGAGAGAAAGGAAAACAGATTCTTTAAAATTTATAACTGCACTATCTGATAATGATATGCTAGAGTCAAACCTTTCTTTTGGGGTAGTAATCCTGAGGGTTATTAAAAAACGGTCAGTGAGGAACAAGGTTGTGAGTTAATACTGCTATTTCTTCACATTCAATGCCATATGTCAGCACAAGGTCGAAAGTGTGAAAATGAGAATGTGTGGGACTATTCACATTTTGAACAAAGCCAATAGCATCTAAGATAGCATTAAAGGCTGCACTCAAGCTATTCCCTTCAATGTCAGCATAGATGTTAAAATCCTTTACTATGATGACCCTTTCAGTATTCAACACCAAATCAGAGGGGAACTCTAAAAACTCATCTTAAAATTTAGAGTATGGACCTGGTGAAAGGGATTATCACAAATCAAATCATTAACTAACAGACTTTTTAAAAGAATGAGATCTTATGTGAAATAAAACACATTCAATCATTTTAACTTTTGTTCCCCAATTGGAGTTATTTTTATTTTTATTTGATTAATTATTGCTTTGGGATTCTTTTTTAATTTATTTGATTTTGGTCATGAGTGTGTAACAGCAGAGAAACTGCAGAGAGGTGTGTTAAGCTAAGAGTCTGTTGTTATTCAAAAGAGGGGAAAGATATATTTGCAGACTTGGCATGTGTCTTTTACTTGTAAATCCTGAAAGCTCCAGGCAGGAAAGCCAAGCCCAGCATGTCATCAGACTGCAAAGCTTCCTCTGCCATAGTTCCCAGTGACTCCACTTCCTTTATTTGTTGCCAGGGAAGCAGCATCTCCCAAACACTTTGGGCTGAGGAAATCAGCAGAAACACTCATGAAACAGGAACACATCTGGAGCACCCTTCTAAATAAGCTATCGTCAGCACTTGAAGGTTAAAATGACATGACACGTTTTGAGCACAGGTCAGAATGGCGTGCCCTTACTGTGGTGTTCCTGAAGCATTTCTGTATAAAGAAAGTGAGTCACAACATCATATTTCCACTCCACTAGAAAGAGGATATCTGACATGGAGATCGAGCCCCATGTCTGACCCCTGAGGCCCAACCTTCGGCTGCACCACATGGAGGGCAAAATAGTGTGAACACCCTCTGATGCCAGTCTGAGGAGGAAGAAGAAGTTTTCTGTCTCTTAAACCTTGTTAATCAAAGTAGAATACACAGCAAATTTTAGAACGGAGTCAAAAGATTCCATTTGGAATACCTACACTATGTTATATTTGTACACTAATTGCCTAAGGGAATAATTGTAAAAACTTGCTCACCTCGCCCAGCGCTTCTTGGCTGCTTTTTGGAGCCTATTCGTGTTTGCTGTTGTTTTGCAGAACTGTTTTTTCCCCAGAACTTTCTCAGCCTGTGTCAAAAATATAAAACCTGAAAATAGTGGAACAGTAAAAAAAAAAAAAAAAAGAATTCTGGTTACATCTAACGACTTACCTGGGAAATATATGTTTTAGCTGTTTGTTGCTGTAATAGTTCTGATGTAGAGCTGTATGCTTTTCTTCTGAGTACATTTTGCAACATGTTATGAAGATTCCCAATATTTAGAAGCTGGCTGTCCCAGTAAAGCTGGGAAAATGGCACATATTCTCAGCAATAAATTCAAAGTAATAAGCAACAAATTGACATGAAAAAAGGTGTAATTCTTATACATTTTTCTTCCTTTCCTTCTCCCTTTCCATTTCCAAGAGCACATCCAAAACATTTGCACCGGCACAGGACCAGCTTTCATCCCCTCCTGCAACCTGAAACACAAACAGTTCTGACAAAAAACTACCACTGTTATTGCTTCATGTTAACTAGGTTATTTTGAGTATTATATGCTAAAAAAAAAAAAATCACAAAACAATAGCAATTAAACTATTTAAAGCAGCAAAAAAGCATGTTGTTACGTGTATTATGAAGGGAAATGCTGAATGCCAAAGTGTTTTCAACCAATTTCCATTCCATATATGTTTTTTTTCTCTCTGTCACCATATATTCGTTTAGGATTTCTTCAAGAAAAAATTGTGTTATGTATATGTATACTACTCTCCATGTGTTTTCTGTTTATTAGATCTATCTGGATGTAAGTTTCATACTTTTAAGACAAATTACTTTATTTCTGTAATTACATTTTTTTATGTTTCAATTAGACAAACACTGGATGAGTATATATGTTGTTTTATATACTTTGCGTTAAATTTCTTGGTAAAGTGGGTTTTATTATGTTTCCTACTCTTTAAGATTTGAAAGGCCTTTTCAGGTAAAATTATTTGTTTAACATGATCTAATTTGCTATCCTTCAAACAGCTGCAGTAGTTTGTGAAATACTGCAGGAAATTGTTTTTTAGGTCCTGCTATAATATGAACCTCATACAGTGAATGTTTCACAATGAGGGTACAATTAAATGTTGGAAATGCACAGATTTTATCCTGCAAATCCTGAATTCAATGACTAGATTTATATAACATTAGCAATACTACCACTTTCTCTTCAATTAATACCTAAAAATTAGTGTCTGTTTCTGAAGAATAATAAAATATTTTTTTCCTGCATTAAATGTATTGATATTTTATGAGAATGAAGTATATTTCAGAAAGGGCTACAGATGGGGTGTATATATATATATATATATATATATATATATATATATATATATATATATATATATATATATATATATATATATATATATATATATATATATATATATATGGAGATATACAAGAGGATGTTGCAGGGGATAGACAACTGGGATAGCTGTAATAGTGGCCGAGATCAGGGACTAAAGCAGCTAAAGATGCTGATGAAGCTGAAGATTTACAATCTGATGGAGTTTCAGGACAACCCAAAGCACAGCCTGCCTTGTTTTGTGTTATTTTATTGTAATGACAGATTCACCAGTTTTATGTATTATTAACTTAATTAAAGGCTCATTTATATATTTTTAACTGTTTTAAGACTGTTTTTTTTTTATAGAATCACTGTGGATCTGAATATACAGATCACTAGATGATTAAAGAGTCCTAAAATAATAGCCTGTGGACAAATCAGGGTGAAGAGTCAAAATAAAGTTGTTGTTTTTTTTACCGAACCATCTTAATAACGGTGTACCTTTATTCGCAATAATTTGAGTGCAAAACTATTTATACCACATTTTTAGTTTTTATTAACCTGCTGATTTTTTCCCAACTGATTGATAATATCAGATAATAATCAAATAGCAAAATGTGCTTTATAGATTTTTTACTGATTTGAACCAGGTGAAGCTAAAACCTGATTACACGGAAGGTTATTAATCTTAAGTGCAAATTCTATACATATTTTGTTGATGTCTCAGCAATTTTCAATTGTTTACTAAATTACCTAATAATTATTTCCAAAATCATTGTATCATCATTATTCATCTGAACTGTTTCAGCCCTTGTCTGTCACATCTAAACTGTATTTCTACCTCCAAACACATTTTTCAACTGAATGGAAAATGTTCACGGCTAAAGATTTGAAACATTTTAGGAAAACACATTGAGTGAAGCCATCATAGTTCATGCATGAATGTGTTTATCCCTGAAGCTGTTTCTCATTGATAATTGTATATTGTCTTCTTCAAAGGCTTGAGTGATTTTCTCCACAGTGATGATTTTACTCTGCCCAGGGTTCATTTTTTGAGAAAAATGGATGTATAAATTGTTTCTTCATGATGTTCATGACTAAATTTAAGAACGGTTACCTTTTTCATGGCTGTTTCAGCTTCACCTCTGTTGGACGACACATGAAACACTTTGCAAAAAAGGACACTCAGGTCTTCAGCAGAAAGCTCAGCTCCGGTTGATATACCCAGACACTGGTAAAGTGCGGTAATAAAATCCTGCAAGAGCACATGTATCTAAGCCTGGAGCTTTGTAGGAAAAAACAAAACAAAACTTAGAACCAGAAGGGTTGTTAAAACATCTTACCTCCTCCATATTTTCCCCACTCTGGGCTGATGAATTATAAAGAACATTACTAAGGTTACAGCAGCCAGATCAGGTTACCAAGAAACAAAAGGTGTTTGAGTTAACAGCAGATGGAGACATAGGGAAGTGAAATGTAAAACAGAATTTAAAGGGAAGGCTGTTAATTTCTTATGTTACTGAAAGAGTTTGCTGCTTCTTCTGCAACATCCATGCCAGATTCAAATGAATTCTTATAGAAATCTTTAAAATGAACATTATCCCCCACCATTGAAAGGAGAAACACATTTCTATTTCAGTTTAATATGTCAAATCCTGCTTGAGATATGTTATTGTTTTAAAGCAAAACCACCTTTTATCTATGTGGTTTATACCTAAAATATCAAGATGAAACATCAAGCTACATGTTTCTGTTTTTCTTCTTATTCAGTATTTTCTCTCAGATGAAAACAAACAGACATAACTAAATACATTTTCAATCAAATTGATTTCAATGGCTTTATTAATCCAACTACACATCTTAAAGTTAAATAAGTCAAATTTCCTTCCTAGTGTCTGAAAGGGATCTTTTCTCAATAACATTTAGGAAGCAGAATATCAGGAATGCATTGATCCCTGGAAAGCAATATACGCATAAATCAACAGGAAAACTAAAACATTTGTCGTGATTTAGTTTATTTCAGAATTATAAAATGAAATGAACCTGAGATTATTCTACATACAGTCAGACATTGCACATTTTTAACTAAATATACTTTTGCATATTTATAGAAAATATCTTATAAATGTGTAACAATACATTTGAAAGGTATGTGTGGTTTAAATACTCAGTGCTTGTAAAAACATATTTTTCTTTAGTCATTATGTTAACATCTGTTGAATAAAGCACCCTTATCTTTTGTGTATATTCTGAGGTTGAACAGAGAAGCAGCTGAGCGTGCCTTTGTGCAAATCATCAGGCGCTCATCAGTAGCTGAGCGGTTGGAGCATCACTGGGGGCTGCCATGAATGATCTTGGGACACTTCTCTGGCTGAATGCAGTAGTTGTTGTGGAGAACCAGACCAGCAGGACACTGGCAGCCGGGGATGCAGGGCTTGAAACAGTGGCTCTCTATCACCCCCAGTGGTACGTCCACATTAAAGCACGTTACAGGACACGGAGGGCCACACTCATCAAACACAAAGCCCCTCTCTACAGGACAGCCCACAGCTGGTAGGGGGAGATAAAAAGACAAATATTTAAAAACAGTGATGTAAAAGGATGAGCAGGATTTTCTGTTCTGTTGTATAAAGAGGAAAAGGCTATTTTTTTTATGTGCACCCTTAGGGAATCCAGGTGCACAGAAAACATGCAATAAACAACTTATATCTAATGTCCTGTATCCTTTTAAAGTAGTTTTGAGTAACATGTCTTCAAATGTAGTCAGATAAACAGAACACATAAAGAATTCTTCTGCCTTGTTTTTCTATTACACATATTTTCTTTCAGATAATCAAAATTAATAATGATACATAATTAACATAAATAAAAAAATGAACCTTTAAAAAGATATTTTTATTCATTAAAGGGGTAAAAAGAAATATCTAAAGTAATAGAAAGAATAGGTTTTACTCACCACACAGTGATGCGCTCCTCCACTGCAGGATGACTCCTGCTTCTCTGCACTGGCTGGCGTAGGCCTCCAGTGTGTCACACAGACACTCATCTGTGTTTGCCCCGCAAGCACATTGGTCATAGACGCAGGCTCCATACCATGGTTCAGGTGGAACAACACTGTGACAGGGCTTGAAGAGTGCAGACTTGAGAACCTTACAGCGGGTGTTGGCTCCTTTCCTGGCCTGGAATCCTGCACTTTTGCAGGGATTAATGTCTTCTCCGGGACGACACAAGGAGACTGAAAGGTTTCCACTTGTCATCTTAAATGAGAGGTTTTTAGAAGCGTGATGATTGATACCTTAGTGGTGTGTGCACTTTGTTAGTTTTCTCTTCATTCAGTCTGTTAAACATACCCTCCAGCTGTTGCCAAACTCCGACTCTGATGTGGAGATTTGGCCGGTGGACATTTTAAAGTCATCCTGCGGATACTTGTTGAAGTTTCCACAAAGACCACAGGTGTGACCCTCATAGGAGCCTGGCACGCTGACTTCAAGGTGTGAACGGGGACTCCACTGCACCTGAAGGCAAACCAAAAGATATTTGAGCATGTCATTTTAATGAATTTTACATTAGATTTGCGGCAGTTCTGTACCTTTAATCCAATATTAGTGTTGAGTAGGACAGTGTTGGCTTGCTGCTCTATATAGAGATATGGCTCCATAAGAAAAGGCAATGACACCACCTCCTCATTCACCTAACGAAAAAAAAAAAAAAAACTCAGCTAAGTAGACATATTGCACATTGAAAGAAGTTAAATTCCCATGTCATTTGGACAAAATAAAGCTAATTTTACAACTTAACAATTGTATTAATGATTTGAAACCAGTTATTACACTTTACCTAGAATACAAATCCCTTATGATGTAAATAAAATTAACACAAACAATTAGTTGCCATGTAAATATCTACTTCAGGTCTAATGTAATAGTATCAAATCACCACATGCTGTAACTTGAATTTGCTTTCATGAACTGTGCATTTCAAAATGAGTGTGGCCTGTGCTACAAAACAATGGGCAAGATGGTCATTACAGCTAATGCGGTCTGCACAGTGTTTCAGAATAGGAATGTCTATAACACGTATACAACGGGGATGTCTTAGTGAAATATCTGAGATATGAAATGGAGGACATTTTTAAAACTCTGAGATATTTCAGGTTTTTAATCGTGTTAAAGATCAATAATGGCATAAAGTCGCTCCTGCTTAATGCTACAGTTGTAAAAACCACATAACTGAATCCTGTCAATGTTGTCAATATATGCGTCGGATCAAACTGAAATATCCAATCATGCAAATGCATTATGTATTTAGTGTTTGAAATATATGCAATATAATATGTGCCTTTTTTGTCAATTTATATTCATGGTTCAGAAAATAATAAAAAAAAAATAATAATTTTAATGGAAAAGATCAGCTGAAATCAAATAAAAAGTTACAGCTTGAGGAAAACCAATAAAATTAGCTGTAACTAATTACAGTTTCCTGATTTTTTAAATGTTCTTTCAAAGCAACAAAACGGATTATTTTATTTCCAGTCATCAAACACAAACCTTCACAACAAATTCCTGGAGCAGCTGTACAGTGACATGGCTTATAAAGACCGTCACCTCCTTGGTCCAGGACACTCCTTTACGCCCACGATCATCATTTGTAACAAGAACACTGCACAAAGAAACACATTTAAAATCTTTTTTTATTGCAGTGCCCATAAATCAAAAATAAATTTTTTAGCTCAAAAATAAGGAGAAAGGCTGAAACCCATAATATTTCTCTTAACCAAAACGGTGTAAAATAAATAAAATAAAGAGGCTGTGCCTGCGTAGTGGCAGAGCAAGCATCCCTTATGGAGGATATTATTTCTTCTTGCAGCTTTCTTATGTTCAATTCCCAACCAGGAGACCTATACCGTAAACCTGTCTGCCTTATCTATCTGCACATTTCCTATCTGATCACTGTCAACAGTCTACCAAAACAATCATCAGGGAGCATAAACAGTGTCTACCAAAACTATAACTGCACATCCCCTAAAACTTATTTTAGGCCTATATTACAATACATTACAACGACTGCAAAATGACAAAAGCTTTTAAGTTTGTGCAAATACTTTTTTTAAAGTATTATCTTTAAAGAGTGGATTGCATATTTATAGCCTACATAACAGGCATTGAACATCTAGACCCAGACATTACTGTAATTGTTTTATTAGCAACATATCTCAAGTTGAGCTATATTGTTTTGATCATTGCTTTTTAAATCTTGCCACAGCATATTAATGTGATTTATGTCTGCTATGGCCTGGGTAATGTCTGCTTTGATCTAAAGCATCACATAACATCACATCTAGCTCTATGCTCAGTATTGTGCTGCTCCAAGGTGAATATCCACCCCATCTGTAGGTCTTTTTAAGCCTCAGACTATATTGCTTTGATCCATCTTGTAATGAGTTCTGACCAGCTTCCCTGTCTCCACTGAAAAATAGGATCCCTACAGCATAACACTACATGTTTAATGGTGAAGATGGTGTGTTGCAGGGGGAGGGGTAGAGCTAGTTTTCAACTAAACTGCATAATTAAATCATATAATGTGAAAAAAATGATAAAATAACTGAATGCAAGTAAAATTTCAGTTCATTACTGTGAATGTTAAAAATAATTAATTAAAATAAAATGTATCACAATAATAGAAATTATTCTTGATGAGTTTATATTTAATTCCAGCAGGTGTGTTTTTTTTTTATATAACTTTTAAAATGTCAGCTTTTATTTCACAAAGATGTTTCTCCCAATCTTTCTACTGAATGACTATATCAGTCAATCAGAGTCGGGTGGAATAATGATAGAAGAATATTTTAAATCGCTGTGGTTGCATTTTTAATATGATTTGGATGGTCAGGATAATGTTTTGTAAGCCAAAAAGGGGCCCAGCAAGGAAAGTTTGAGAATCTCTGGATGAGGAAATAGTTTAAAGATCTAGAAAAATGTGATCCTCTCACCTAAAGTCTTCACTTTTACAGTCTTTTGCTAAGATATACGTGCACGTCCCCTGGAAATGAAACATTCGTCCATCAAAGGTGCGGTAGTGAGGGTCACCGAAAGCTATGCAGGTTGCTGGACGAGAAAGGCAACGTGGACAGCATGAACCTGGAACGACTGCTGGCATCTCATCCTGTCAACAAACAAAGAGAGATTAAAGTGATTACACTTTAGATCAAAGAAAGCTAAACAAGTCTACACTCAGTATCCTTCTTTGACCTGTTGAAAATTACTTTTAAAGTATGTTCAAGGTTACTTTCTTTGGTTAACCGTCATTCATTTGATTAATAAAATATTATCTAAATTGTATTACCTTTGGTGTCTACAGTTCATGTGAACAAAACAGGAAAGTTTAGAAATTTACCTAAAAGAAAACTTGAGTAAAATGCTATTTCTGTTTATTAATTACGATGAATAAGTGCAAAATTGCTGCTTAGAAGAAAATAACAATGAGACAAATTTAGCAGCAGCTTCAAGCAATTATGAGCACATAATTAAATGTTTCAGCTTTTCAAGTAAAAACATAAGAATCTTGCATATTAAAAATCCCTGTCTGTTTAGTTTGAAGAGGCATCATGGCATCATTTAGGCCAGCAATGCAACCGCATACAGACTGAATGAATAAAACTGTCAACTCACTGGTGCACAGCTGAAAGCAGGGCAGCGTTGACTCCGACAGTGGACGTCTCCCGACACACATGTACAGCTGGTACATTCATCCACCTCCCATTGTTCATCGGATTTATACATAGTTCCTTGGTACAAACAAGACTCCCTTGAATCTGTAGATTTGGTCCACATGAAGAAAAAGTATTATTTTAATGCAAAGACACAGACAAAAAAAATAAAAACAATCGGACATTCAGTTTGCTTCGCAGCAGCAGGTGCTTATTTTGTTTGCTTCCATGGAGACCCTGGCATTCACTGCAGCATTTTCCTTGAAGCTTAAAGGTATTTCGGGGGGTTTTTAAAAATTTTTGATAAGACCCTCTCCACTTTAAAAAAAGAAAATTGCACATGCACAACCCTGCAACTGCTCCCAAGAGGGAATGCCTATTAAGTGCAAGAGCATGCATGAGCCCATTTCTCCTTGTGCACGCTCCGTTTAAAAGGTGCTGTTTGTATCGCTTACTCAAGCTTACTTTCCAAAAGAAGATTTGTAATTTTTCCACTACGTCAGATTCACCACTGGTAAGTGAAAATGGGGACGAGCACGTAGGACGGCCTTACATAAACATATCACTAGAGTGATTGACAATTAGGAGGACCACTTGTTTTGATGATCCACCCGGAAAAAGAACATCCTCCACTATACTTTTAACTTCCATTGGTGTCATCAGTTTATAATATGACCTCTCACCTTTGCACACAGGACAGCAGGAATCTGGGGGAGTGAAGCGATCATCATAAGGGCAGTTGAGCACTGGACAGGTCTGATGCAGGCAGGTCCAAGTCAGTTCCTACACAGAACCAGAGTTAGCTCAATATTTTCAACTGTGGCCAATATTGAACAGGCATATCTAAAGGGAAATGGAAATCCTTTATATAAGTTCACTAGAGAATTGTATTATTATATTTTAGCATATCTTCACACAACTTAAAGTATTCCCACCTTTGGGACTTTTCCCTATTGTGCCACATTACAACCTTAAACTTCAATTGTTCCATCTCCACCATCTGCTGCTTGTGAAGCGCATTATGTGCCTCAGATACTCAGAAGCTCATGAGGTGCTGCTTCAGCTGCTCAGATGCATCAAGATGCACTGTTTCCTGCTGCTTGAGACACCTTTTGATACGCCTTGATGTGCACCTACTATAGACATTGCATGTAAACCTTCTGCTTCTGCAGCTCAAATATTACAACATTGTAACATTTGAGCTTGGTTTCCGTCTTAAAGCAGGTGCAAACTAGTTTGTAAACACAGGGCTGAAGGTGCAAAATGATAGTCACTTGCAATCCAGCAGACAGCATGTGCAACCTATTCTTATAACCAAATGGGTGGAGGTAATGCAAACAAACATTTACCACCTAAAACAAACATTTTCCTAATAGAAAAAATCAAATGATGCCACAGTTTACCTTGCATTGACAGGTGAAGCAGGGGTCATTTGCTGCCAACAGCTCGTTGCCAATCTCTGTGCTTGTACAGTTAGTGAGTGGTTCTAGAAACAAAATACAACATGTAAGAGGCACTGATCAAGAGTGTGAAAATAATTTTTGTTACACGGGGTAAGCACTGACGTGCACAGACAGGACAACAGGAATCTGGTCCAGGATGTAAGATGTGACCTTTGGGACAGTCCACCAAACAGGGGCATTGCTCTCTATAACACTTCAGATGGTGCTCTCCATCTGGCATCACCTAAAGTACAGATTGATTGATTGAAAGATGGATGGATGGATGGATGGATGGATGGATGGATGGATGGATGGATGGATGGATGGATGGATGGATGGATGGATGGATGGGTTTGACAGTTGCAAAAAGAAAACAATTTTTCTTACCTCACATGAGCAGACCTGACAGGGATCATTGGCAGGATGGAAACTCTCCCCTGGAGCATACTCTCTGCCCTCAAATACGCAATCTTCACACAGACATATAACATCAAAGCATTACCCCAAATGAGTGTTTGAATTAAAATAAAGTGAAGAAAAAATTTGCTCACCGGCGCACACTGGGCAGCACTCCCCAGGCATTGTGATTAAGTTGGCACAAGGAGATACACAGCTTACTTCAGAGCAGGTGGTCACTCCATTTACACACATACAAGTTGTACAGGGGGTAGAATTTGCTAACCAGTTGCTGCTGTCTTCATGATCCTGTCCTTCATACACGCAACCTGAAAAATAAAAACCTTGGTAATTATACAGAATATGTACTATACTTTCACAGAACAGAGATTAATCTTGAAAGTTTAACAAGCACATTTTGTGTCTGAATTTTCCTGAAAAGTGTTCCATATATATAACAGATTCAATTTTTTGGAAAGAAATCTCTTATAATCACAAAAGCACCCCTGTAAGTTCAGGAGTGTACCATTTGAGTGATGTAGTAAATTCCAGGAGCATAAGTTAGTTCGGAAAAATATAAAGTCATTTCAGAGCAGTTAAATTAATCAGAGACATTCATATACTAAGTGCCTGAGAAGTTACGAAAACTAATCTTTCAAAAAATAATAGGACCTGGTCAATTCTAGAAAGCTTTAAGTTTAAATATCTAGTACATTGTTGAAAATACAGGGCAAGTTCCAGAAGGTAATCTCAAGGTACTAGAAAATAAAAGGTAACTCTGGTTAGTTCCAGAGACTACCCTCATACTCTGAACCTCTTAAAAATATCTGCTTATGATCAGAAAACTATTTGATAGGAGTAAGCCATCAAGGGAAATCCAGACTCTATTTTGTAGTCTTACTAAAGACTACTTCTTGCTTACAACCTCCACAGTATTATTTATTATTATTTATGCTAGTTTGATTACCTCTACAGCGGGGACAGCAGGAACCTGGATCAGTCACCGTATGAGGGCAGGACAAGCTGGGACACTCCTGAGGTACACAATCCACCTTACCTTTCTGGAAAATTAAAATAGAGTAGAATTCAAATAAAAGGATATCAAGAGCTACAAGGAAGATGAAGAATTAGAAGCAAAACTATAAATAGAAACCTGGCAGGTACAAGTTGAGCAGGGATCTGAACCCAAGGTCCATGATTGTCCTTCATAATAGGTGAATCCATTCACCACACACTCTGAGACCACAGATGAAGAGAAGAAATTAGGTCAGATCTTCAAAGGTCCCAAATAAGGACTGCAAAACAGCATTGGCAAATGCAATGTGTCACAATATATTTTAAGAGAAGATATTGCACTCCGCTAACTGATCTAAAATAAGGAACATTTAGTGCGATGTCAGACAGTGGAAAAAAAGAAAACTTTGTGTTCATCTATTATATTAAATATATAAATGTTTGTGGTGAAACTTGTCAAACTGAAATATTCTGTCCTGATGTCACACATCTGCTATTGTATTGCCAGATTCTATTTTCCCATTCTGCAGAACCTATTAGTTCAATCTTTAACGTTATGTTCTCTCTGCTTTTTCTCATAGTAGCTTCGACTCGTCTGTTCCTGTTTGGCTGTGAATCCATCCTGGAGGGAAATATCAGCTGTGCTGCTGCCATCAACACCTTTGTTTATAGGTGTTTGAGAGCTGCCTTTTTTCAGTGTGGTCCTGTTTCTCTGACTGTGACTGGCTGGATGTGCTCTCTTCATGCTCTGACATAGGAGGTGGCTCGGATCTCAGATGCCTGGCGGTGTGTTTCCTGGATGGGGCTACCTTTTACAGTTGCCCTTTTTTCTCTCTGCTTCTGTCTCCTTGAACCCCAGTCGGCCTCAGCAGATGGCCGCTCATAGGGAGCCTGCTTCTGCTGGAGGTTTCTTCCTGTTAAAAGGGAGTTTTTCCTTTCCACTGTCGCTACAAGCATGCTTAGTGTGAGGGATTGCATTTGAGTCAATGAGTCGATGCAATCAGCTGGTTTTCCTTAGATAGCAAACTTTTAATCAATATACTGTATGATCTGGTGAACTGTAAAGTGCCTTGAGATAACATGTGTTGTGAATAGGCGCTATATAAATTAACCCAATTAAATTGAACTGATCAAAACATGTCAGAGTATTTTTTTTTGTTTCACTCAAAATTACCTGTGCAATGGGGACAGCACTCTCCTGGCTCTAGAACAGGGCGTTCACATCGCGTCAATGGACAGTTGAGAGGACCACAGGAAACTGTTCCTCTAAAACAAGTGCAGCGCTCACAGGGATTGGATAAGGATGTGAATGTGTGACCATTAGAGTGCACGACACCTTCATAGAGGCAGGAATCACATTCAGGACAACAAGTACCAGATGGAACAGGATGCAAACACTGAACTCGACAAGACCTCCTCTCACAGGTCACCATCTCATTCTGATGAAGAAGAGGGAGGAAGGCAGAAAGAGGGATCTATGAAATAAACAAGATGGCTTCTTTTTTTCTGCAGCAACACTGAGACTTACCAGACAGTAACATGTAGAGCAGGGATCAGAGGGTGGTGTAAAGGTAGAGCCTGACTGATACTCTTCACCTTCATAGAAACACGTCTCAGGGCATACAGGACAGCACTCCCCTGGAGGAGTCACTGGGTACTGGCAATTAACGGGTCCACACAGGGCTTTGGCACACACTACATCACCGTTCTGTAAAATGAATAAAAAAAGACATTTAAAGGTATAGTGAAGGATGTTCTTTTTTTCCGGGTAGATAATCAAAATAAGTGGTCTTCCTAATTGTCAATCATTCTCCTGATATGTTTGCGTATGGCTGTCCTACATACACGTCCCCATTTTCACTTACCAGTGGTGAGTCTGACATAGTGGGAAAATGGCTTTTTGAAAGTAAGCTTGTATGAGCGATGCAAACAGCAACTTTTAAATAGAGCATGCGCAAAGAGAAATGGGCTTCTGCATGTTCTCATATGCTTTCATATGCAATAGGCGTTCCCTCTCGCAGATACGTGCATGTGCATTTATTCATTTTTTAAGTGGAATTCAAAAATTCGCGAAAATCCTTCTCTATACCTTTAATGTAATATAATCAAGAAATAGTGCTTGAAATTGAAAGGCTTCTTTTTTTTTCTTATCAGCCAGACACAATCTACAAAAATGTTGTGGAATGCTTACAGGAAAAACATCAGTTTAAAGCAGAAAGAAACCAAACTGGGGTAATTTTAGCATGCAATCTATTTATCTATTTGACAATGACTAAAGATTTGCTGCTTAGTGGATCAGTGGGTAGCACTGCTGCCTTGCAGCAAGAAGGTTCGATTCCCAGCCCAGGGTTTGCATGTTCTCCCTGAGCATGGGTGGGTTCTCCAAAAAACATGACTATTTGGTTATTTGGCTTCACTAAATTCTCCTTAGGTGTGAGTGTGAGTGTGGGTGTGAATGGTTGTTTTTTCTGTCTGCGTTGCCCTGCGATGGACTGGCGACTTGTCCGGGGTGTACCATGCCTCTCGCCCGTAGACAGCAGGAGATAGGCACCAGCACCCCTCGTGACCCCGCTTGGGATAAACATGGATATATTTGAAGATGAGAATTAATTAGAATCAAATATTTTACTAGCATAGATTTTCACAACCAACAGGCAAAGTGGTACATCAGCCCAGTCATCCCACAACTCAACAGAGGGGCAAATACCCAATCAAAACAACCTCATCTTCAGTGGTGTCAAAAGTACACACATTTGTTACTTAAGTAGAAGTATAGATACTGCAGTTTAAAAACACTGGTAAAAGTTGAAGTATCAACTTGACCTCTTTACTCAAGTAAAAGTGAAAAAGAATGTGCTCCAAAAACTACTTAAAGTATAAAAGTATAAAGTAACCTTTAAAAAAAACAGCCAGATGCCACTATATGAATTGAAAGCTAAATTTTTTTACTATTTCGAAAAATTCTTTGTGATAGGGCCAAGGATGAGGGAGGTCTTGTTGGTCTCCGTCTCCCGATACGCTCTCGCCTGCTTCCGACCTTTCAGACATATCAACATCTTTTTCTAAATCTGACATTGTAGCATGGCATAGACAATTCACGCTTGCAGTTTGAAGAACACCTGCTTGCTGCTGATGATTTCCTTTAGCTAACCAATGAGTGTTTGCGTTATATGACTCATCCAATTACACTAGTTTTCACTAGATGTTGCATTGGATGGCACAAATAAAATATCTATAAACATTACTCTGAAGCCAAGAGTAACGAGTAACCTTTGTTTTAAAAATGTAAGGACTAGAAAGTACAGATACTTGTGTAAAAATGTAACTAGTTGAAGTCAGAAGTAGGAATAAAAATAAGTAATGGAGTAAAGTGTACTTAAGTGATACTTCTGAAAAGAACACTGCCCAGCCCAGCTCTAGATATCAGCATGGCCCAAACCAACCTGCTTTTATTGTAGATGAGACAAATCTTTACATACAGATTTCAGAGAATCTTTAACTATGGCTCTACCTTTGCTAACAACCTCTGAATGTTTGAGGGTTAACATAGAGAGCACTGAACATTTGAGTAAACAGTCACCCTAAAATGTAGAGATTCATTTTTATAGACCTCCTGATAGAGACAGGAAATTATTTTACTTTTAAGTTGTAGTGGAAGTGCATCAAACAGAGACCTACATAACATGCACTTTGCTGAAAGATAAAAGAGATAAAAATGAGAAGCTGTAAATAAATTACTAATATGGTCACACCCATTGCTACTTTGACTTGTTTATAAGATGCATTTATTTATACTTTACTAATTGCTTCTACATCCTAAATGAAAAATAATTAAGGAATTAGAGATGGTGACACTAAGTATTGTGAAAAAGTGTTATGTAAGTCTTTATATTAGTTAATAAACCCTGTGAAAGTGATTGAAGCATAGCTAAGACGACAATAGCGTTTGAATGAATTACTTGAGGAATCAGATCCAAGGTGTAAGTACAACTCAAAGTACACATAGACGGTACCTGACAGAAGCAGCTCTGACAGCGGTCTTCAGGATGTGTGAATTGCTCTCCACTGTAATAGCTCTGCCCTCTGTAGTTACATCCATCACAGACTCCACATCCACAGGCATCCAGAGCTGGGTGCGCACATGGTGGAGAACGGCATTGTATGGCCGTGCACGACACGTCACCTCTCTACAAAACAAAAACACGTTAAAATAGCCCAAATTGTTTTTGCAGTAAGTCAATTAAACGCTATTTCCCCTGAGCACATGAAGTCCTCCCAACCATTTTTTAAACTTAAGAAGGTCTGCTGGTCAGAGTAAGTGACACCCTGGAAATAACAACTTCCACACACATAGTAATGTATCAGTCACTAAGCAGTACTACATAACGTGATCAATGTTTGTCTTGAAATATGGTTATTTTCACAGACAGGGCATCAGCAAAGTTCGGTGACAGGATGAGAACAATGAGCTTCTAGACACAGGCTTCTCAAACATCTCAATGAACCACTCTGTAGGTTAAAAAAGCTAAATAATAAGAATAAAAGTGAACAGGATTTTCTGTAAGAATTGCTGGTACCTGACATGTGCATCGAGAACAAGCGTTTCCTGGGTCAGGAATGGACTGTCCATTTAGAAGGACTGCACCATTATAGAGGCACCCTAAGCAATAAAAACGGTAAAATACATTCATTATGACCAAGAAAACAAACTTCCAAACAAAAAAACTAGGGAATTTGAATTAAAAAAAAAACCTACGGTCACATTCTCCACAGCATTGTCCAGCTGATTTGTAAGGGTGGCTGCAATCTTCATTACAAATTAACTTTGCGCAGGTGATATCTCCTCCATGACAGTGACACACACTACATGGGTCACTGTCATTTGGAAACTCTGAGCCATCAGGATATTCTCTACCATTATGTGTACATCCTGCACAGATGAAAAAAATGACATTTATCTTAAAGAGTCTCCCTCTGATACTTCTTTCTTTTTCTTAGGGTGTTTATTGTTTCACCATGACAGGACATGCAGCAGTCCTCCCTAACTGGATGGTTGCAGTTAGAATCTGGACAGCGTTTCCTCTCACAACGCACAGAACCATGTTGACAAACACAGACCGTACACGGGTCTGAGGGATCGTTCCATGTCTCTCCATTGGCTCTTTCTCGATCCTGGTACAAGCAGCCTGCAGGAAAGAAGCTGCAATTGAATGCAGTTGACAGAAACAGTGTTTTGATTTCATGTTGAGATCCCAAAAGATGCGGATGCATACGTTCACAGGTCCGGCAGCAGTCACGTGTGATGGGGTGAGAGCATGGCTCAAAAGGACAGGGCCTGTGCTGACATCGAACGGTCCCATTGTTGCAGTTGCATGTTTGGCAGCTGTCTGTCGGGTGGGAGAAACTCTCTGTGTGTTTGTAAGACCTTCGCTCGAACACGCAGTCTGATGGAGAATCTAAAGCAAAGTTCACAAAAAATATATTTTAATATTGTTCAATCATTATTAACTCCTGGGATTATTCTGAATTTCATAAAAAATGCTATGAAGACCCAAAAGAACCATAAGGATCACATATTAAAAATGTAACCTTACTGAAAGCAAATGTTGCCCTTCCAAAGCAACAGCCTTCCTTGTCATGTTTTAACATGGTCTTTACTATTCAGTTCAGTCTTCTACTAATATTAACTACTGCTTAAAATAAATTCACTTGGGGAGTGGCAGTCTAGTGGTTAGGGCTTTGAATCCTGAGGTTGTGAGTTCGATCCCCCACACCCACAGACTGCTACTCTGGGTCCCTGAGCGGGCGCCTCATAATGGCAGCCCACTGCTCCCAAAGGGGATAGGTTAAATGCAGAGAAGTAATTTCCCTCTGGGATTATTAGAGTATATAAAATACAAAAAAAAATAATAAATACAAACACTTAACCTTTATTTTGATTACATTTATCATGCTAGAAACAACCTCATACTATGAAATAGTTTCTTATTAATAATATCATATTAACACCCCTGTGCTGTTTATATTTCATACAACTTTCCTTCTTTCCTTCCTTATTTCCTTATTTCCTTCTTCCCTTTTTTCTTTCTCTTCATAATCTCAGCTGCTCCCCTAAGGCATTTCCTTTACATCTTTAGACTTAGACTTAAACCAACTATCTCTGGGTATGTCCCAACTCAGGGGATCTACCCTTCAAAGCACCCAGTCAGCATCGACCTGGTCCTTTGAAGACCCCAAAAGAAATGAAGGCTGGAAGTGATCAGCAGAAATTGGGATAGTCTAGCCTTTACCAGCCTTCAAACCTTTAGGTTTCAGCTTTTTATAGGTTTTTAAAGCTTAACACCAACCCCCCAGAGATTGGGTACCGAGCACCAATGATATAAAAACAAATGAATGCAGGAGTGATTGAATTAAGACAGGGTTGGCAACCCAAACTTGTCAAAGAGCCATATTGGACCAAAAAACAAATCTGTCTGGAGCTGCAAAAATGTATAAGTCAAATATATATATATATATATATATATATATATATATAAGCCTTGTATGGCAACAAGGGCTCTCAGTGTATTAGCCCACTATAAAAAAGGACTACATGGGCTTAATTATATAATAAGCATTCATGATTAAACGTTTAACCTGGAGTACTCTGCTGTACGATATTTGGTGCTTTAGGTTTAAATCCAATAGTTGGACAAGGTGACGGAGGAGCAGTGAACTCTCTCACCGCGTGGAGTCTACCGCTTGCTGCTTCACCACGCGTTTTGTATGTATTAGGTTTTGTTGCATTGATGAAATTATAGAAACACGATAAAGTAATCTTCCTATGGTGGACATGCTCTGTTGGGAGGAGTTGATTGAGTCAGGAGGAATCAACAGGAACTGACAGTGCTCTCTAACCCCCAAATCCCACATCATCAGTCCCCAGAATTCCTTGGTGTTATTTTTATTTTGAGGATTTGGGAAAAAAATGGAATGGCAACTTCTCATTACAAAGCAAACATGAAGGAAATCCTTCCGCATTGGTAATGAAAGCCAATGATTTGGTGCATTGTTCTTTGAATCCTCTATTCTCATCCGCTATATTCAGTTTCTTTCCCTTGGGGATCAATGGCCCGAGACCAACCGCCGCTTTGTTTACAACAGCAGTGAAACGTGTGTTGCAAGCTATGACGCAAATCTTTGTTGATAGAAATGTTTGCATTTATTTGTGTTTACATTATTATTGACTCATTATAGAAATGTTTACAGCATTTGAAAAAAACAATGAATGTTTGTTTGACCTGCTGCAAACCATGCTAAAACAAACAAAAAATACATTTTTGAAAAACCCCAGGGAGCCACAATTGGGGCGCTAAAGAGCTGCATGCAACTCTGGAGCAGCTGGTTGATGAACCCTGACCTAAGAGATAAGATCACAGCTACATTAAGAGACCGTTAACACCAATACCAACTAGCAGGGTTAAGTGTTGTGCCTCCAGAGGATGATCTTCCAGATCCACAGTTCTATTCTGTGAATACAAAGCCATGGATCTGGTTTTAAAAGATAAAATAATAGGTGTTAAATTGCCTGTGCAATAATTTCTTTGCACATGCAAAAGTTGGGCATGTATAATTTGCATATGATCTATAAAAAATGCTATGCTATGTTAAGATCTGCAAACTGGTTTGGTTCTGACATATTCATATGAACAGGTCACATCTTTTAATAGCAGTTTGAGAGAAACCATGAAATTAGTTGTCATATTGATAATTATTGACAAAATAATAATAATACCAAATAATAAAATAGAGTGCCCCTGAAATAGGTAGCCTATCGGAAAGTGCTACAAGCAAAAATAAAAAATAATTGATGAAGTTTAGTCATTTTTTGTTTTGTTTAATTGTATAAAGATGATTTGCTGTCCAATTGCATAATTTGTCCCCACTTGCATCGTCTATGCAGGTGAGGAAAATTCCTGTACCTGAAGAAAACCCACACATGCACGGATGCAGCATGCAAACCCCATGCAGAAAGACCCTGAGCGAGGAATCAAACCCAGATCCCTCTTGTGGCAATGCAGCAGGGCTACAAACTATGCCACCGATGTTCCAGCTTTATGTAACTTATAAGTCACATTGTAAGTCCTGAGCCTAAAGCTTCTGAAGTCTGTTTGTTTCACATCCTTACCTGGACACTGGGGGCAGCATTCTCCACGGACCATAGAAGGAGCAGAGCATTGCAGTGGTGGACATCTCCTCATTAGACATTGGACATTCCCATTCTGAAACACAAAATACAAACTTGGCTCCAAAGTTTGCTTGCTCTAGCATACAGTGTAAGGTCCATCTTTACACCATCAGGGGCCTAGAAGACTGAACTCAATAAATTAGCCGTGTTTGGTTTAGAGGTTAGATTTAGGATTAAGCTGTGAAGCTCATTTAGATGAAATGGTTAAGTTTATGGCAGGGTAAAGTTTGACCATAAAAATCTACAGAAATGGAATACAATTCCATGTAAACTCTGTGTAAAAACAGAAAAAACATCTTTGTATATGTATATTTGTGAATGTTTATTTTTACTGTGCATGTGCATGTCCTGCATTTGTCTGTTGGATGAGGAAAGTTGTGTCCATTGGGATACTCTTCTCCAGAATAGCTGCAGCCTAGGTAATAGAAGAGAACTTGATGAAATCATGCTTAATTAAAAAAAAAAAAAACCTGTTACAACTTTATCTTACCATTGCAGTTATTCCGACAGCACGGTCCAGGCACAGGGTTATTACATCGAGGTTCGTGGCAGCGTGTTTGATGACAAGCACTCCTTCCATTAACACATGTACACTCCTCACACTCATTCGCGGGGTTAGGAAAAGACTCCCCATTCACATAGATGCGGTTTTCAACAAAGCAGTCTGTCAAAAAAAACATTTGTTTTTAAAACACTAAGAAACAGATCAGGTTTTTTTTAAAGAGACCTACCTCATCACATAGAAAGAATGTACGCTGTATCACATTGCTCTATTTTTCAGTTACAAAGTGTTTGGTGAATATTTACTGTAAGAAAACCCATATGACCAGAGGTGTAATGCTGCATATGTGCACAATGAGTAACAAAGGAAATGATAGAACCAAGCAAGCTAGAAACTTCCTTTGGGCGTGTGAAAACAAAAAAGCACAAAAAATATTTACTGCTAAGCCATGTATCAGTAGTGCTTGGAATACAATATGATCATTGTTGTTCACTGGAGTGGTAGCAAAAGCTAGCAAGATATAAAGATTTTGCTTGCTGCACCATCACGTTTATTTTTGCTGATTTTATGGTGCAAAGAAATTCTTCATTACACTTAGCATATGTTTTATGAGACTATGCACATATGTTTTTTTTTGTTTATTTTTAAGACATATTACATGACCAAGTCCCCTTATCTTTAACAAACATCAAAGAAGAAATACCTGGACATTTAGGACAGCATTCTCCAGGAGGGGTGTAGGGATTGATGCAGTTTAGTAGAGGACAGGGTTGTCTCTCACAGTGAACACTGCCATGCTGAGGAGATGGTGGAAAGGCGTCAGCCAGGGTAAAGGTAGAAATTCTTCTGTTAATTGGTTAAACACTAACCAAACAGGTGCATGTGTTGCAAGGCTGGTCGGGGGGCGTAAATCTCTGCCCGTTGCTGTAAACTTGATGGTTGTAAGTACAGCTATCACAATTTCCACAACAGGAACCTGAGACAGTAAAAGGTTGGAAGGTTTTAAACCAGGGGTTCCCAAGTCCAGTCCTCAAGAGCTACCATCCTGTAACTTTTATATGCATCTCTTCTCTAGCACACCTGAATCTAAAGCCTCAATCCCCCATTAGCTCATCAGAGGCATGGTAACGAGCCACTCATTTGATTCAGGTGTGTTAAAAATGGTTGCATGAAATACTTACAGGATAGTAGCTCTTGAGGACTGGACTTGAGCACCCCTGTTTTAAACTCAGCCCAGAATGTACAGGCATGCATCATAAGAAAACATGGGTCCATTTCTTACCTTTATTGTTGCTGGGTTGCTCACATTCCGGTTGACATTGGGTGTTTGTACATAAGCTCTCCCCATTTACACAGGTGCAGCTGGAACAAGTACTGTCTACTTGCCAACTGGAGCCTTCTTCATATTCTATCCCCTCATGCACACATGCTGAAACGAGGAGGGAGGGTTGTAACTCTGGCTCTGATGAGTTGTTGTTGTTGTGTGTGTGAGAGATTGTGTTCTTTTGCATCATTACTTTTGCAGACTGGACAACATTGACGAGGATTTCTGATGGGATTGGTACATCGGATAGGGGGGCATCTTACATCAGAGCAAGCCACATTCCCCTCCTAGCTCAAAAACACAAAATACATATTACAGGTTTACGTTGCATATATATTTACAGCATTTTATAGACATGCATTAGATACTTTGAATAAAACTGTTTCTTGTACCATAATGTGAAAAATCAAAGAAATATTTATACAGTTCCTCTCAGAGGTTTAGAAACAGGGGTAATTGGCATGAATGTCACTTGGATTTTGGGCTGTAAATTATGGATTTATTTATCAGGGGATCCTTGTGTGAACAACAGTAATAGGCATAAGGCAAATAACATGCATGCAATAAATTACAACAATAGGCACATTTAAAATGCACCGCAACCTTAAAGAAAAACAACATGCAAGCATCCTTGCTTTTTTAATATTGAAATAAAACAGAATGTTTTGACAAAAACTGTTGCTTCAATGGCATAAAAGGTGGAAAATATCACAAACCAAGATACTTGCTATACACCCACCCCCACTACAACACAGCACTTTATAATTTTCCCGAAAAGGGTTAGACCAGGGGTCATCAACCTTTCTAAGGGTGAGGGCCACTTCAAGGTTACTGCGTCAAAGGAAGGGCTACCAATACTGACCCATGAATTGAAAGGATTAGCGTTCACCTAAATGTCAGTCATTATAAACATATTTTTATTGTATCTTTTAATTTCAAATTTTATTTTAGACATTGTCATTTTGACATGCTCTACAAATTATTAAAAAGAACAGTAACAGAATAAAAGAGAAGGCTCTTATGACTGCTATGGTGACCAAGATGAATTCTATGCCAAAACATCCTGCTAACGGCAGCCCCGTAACCAGCATTGAGAACACCGAGGTCATGTCCTCAGTATTTTCCTGTTTGTTTTATTTATTATTATTATTACTATTATATATCCACAAACAATTGCAAGCCATTTGATTCATTTAGTGGGCCATACACATGCATGGTGATGATGGTGACAATAATAAAAGTAGTAATAATAATTCAATATTAATAACAACAACAATAATTATATAGTATAATGATGATGATGATAATAATAATAATACCACTCACTCACATTCATTCTCACACTCATACTCACTCACTCATACTCAATGAAATACTCTAAGTTTGTGAGTTTTGGAATTGTTATAATACACATGTTCATATTCACCTCCTTCATGGGCTTATGATTTAAATATATTTTTAAAAGTCACCATATTAGGATGTTATTTTGTCAAGTAAGATTTATCGCAATATTTGACTTCCGTATTTAAAAAATCCTGGTTATGGCCCTGGCTAATGCCATCTCTCCAAGAGCCGTAAACAAATTACAAGATGACAAATAGCATCTGATGTGACCAAGAGGGTATGGCAAAGGCTATTCACAGTACATGGTATAGTTAGGAATGGTAATCTACCAAAGAATTGATGGAAAATTGTGTTTGATTTGTTCTGTTGCTCCTAGGGTAGCTACTATTGTCATGTCTGAATAATGCACCTAAAGAAATATAGAAGCACGACAAAAAAGTTGTAGGAAAGAAGAGATTATTCCAAGAGGAAAGTGGTGTCCTTTTTGAGCTACAAATGTGCAGTATATACGGTAGTAAGCTGATAAACTGCAGTATGGATCACTGGTCTGCCATCAATATTTTGAACATTTGAAAGGCCATAAACTAGAATTATTGTATGTTAGATTTTTCCTGAGAACTACACAAAAAATTCCCCACTAATGAACTATGTGATAGATTACAATTCAGATTATTACCAGTAATACATTACAAGCAAATTTTTCAAAAACTGTGCAGAAATCCATGTAGGCCACATGGTACAACATTTACCCATAAGGTGGATCAGACTCTGTGCATTAGTAATATAATGGTAGTGCCAATAACTGTAATGTATAAAGGTGTAAAAGATCTGATTAGAATAGAAACAGCAAGAGGAAAACAGACAGAAAACAACTAAAAGAGTATTATGGACTAAATGACGGTGTTTATTAATTTTAACAGGCAACAAAGAGGCACTTTGGATTAATTTAAAACAAGATATGAGATTGGAATAGGTTTGGTGTCTATAGTCCCTTGGCCTGCCATTGACAAAATGTTAAATGGATGAACAATTTTAAACATAATCAACAAAGAATGGTAAATGTTACTGCTGAAGGGTTTATGGCATTACATGACCAAGGACATGAGACAAGGTTAGAACAAACAAGCTTTAGATTGGGTTTTAGTGAACATAAAAGGAGTCTGTCAATAGGAAAAGTTTCCATATCACTCCTACCTGTGTTTTAAATCTGCTTTAGCTAAGCTGAACAAACCGAGAAAAGAGATGAAAGAGAATGTGGTAAAGACCGACTGGTCTTAAGAAAAGTCTGATGGAGATTTTTGGTAAATTGGGAACATTAGCAGTTAGACCTGGGTTAATCTTGATTAAAACCTTAACTAGGACTTTCTTCCTGCTTATGTTTGATATGTCTACCTTTATATCAAAGTTATATAATATCAGTTATACAATAACACTCTGAAACTATATCATATACATATATAGCGTAATTTATCATATATTTAGGTTAAATTCATTCAACATAGGTGGTCCAACTCTACATTCCTACATATACTATTAATCACAATTTATGCACATCACAATTACTGTAGGCCCTCATTTACACATATTCTATACAGATACGATATTATGTTACTCTTGTGTTCTTCAATTCTGCTTTTTTTTTAATACCTGATTTTTCTATTTTGTGACCATTTGAAAGGTTATAACACAAATGTTATTTTGATGAATATTAAACAATATTAATATGCAAATTTACTCCAGAATGTAATTACAGCAGTTGTAGATAGAAATGGGGAATTTTGAGACTTTTTAAGGACCATGGTGACCTTGAAGTAAGGGCAAGTAACCACAAAAAATTATTTTGAAAATTAACCGGATGTTTTATTTTTGTTTCGCATATGACTTCCGTAATATCTGCTCCTTTCCATCTTGCTGCGTTGAGCTCAGGCAGAAATACAAAAACAGGTTTAACATCCAACACTGGAAAAACGAGTGCTGAATAAACTTTTCATTTTCAGCCAAAGACATCGCTAACATATTAAATTAACTGACTGCCGATACCAACGGAGTTATATAAACTTTGGTTCGATGTCTTGATGAATGAGTAATAAACAGGTTGTGTTTATGTCTCATTCTGGTTCAAAATAATTAAGAGTACCAAGGTCGGATTCAATTCATGATGGTTTAGGGGCAAACTGGAGGATTCATCCTGTATGAATATTACAAGTGATAATATAACATGAATGGCAAATAATACATGCATAAGAGCCACAAAAAAAAGTTGAAAAAAATTCTCTATTACACTACGGTAGAAGTTTGACTTACTTAGAAATTCATGGGAGGCTGTTGAGAAGAAACCCGTTGGTTGTTTTGTTCAAATATACACGTAGACTTGGAAAAAGATTTGCACGCAAATCTCAAAGGAGCATTTGTTCGTGCCTAGAAACCTAGTTTGGTTTCCTCCTTGCCTAATCTGTTCTGGGTGGAGGGAGCCACACCATTGGTTATCTTACTGCTTTGGTTCTCCCACGAAATTTGATAAGATCTTATGATGAGAAATGTACAGTATGATTCTGTTACTTCCTGGACAAATGAACTCCCCAGGGAGAAACCCACACTCACATTAATGCCCTTAGGAGTCAGTAAAGGCAAAATATTTTCATAGACTATTTAGTTTAAGCTCATCTTATCTTATCCAGAGACCCCCATGACACTGTCCCTGCCTCTCTCCCTCCCTATTCAGGAGCTAGAAGCTACACCAACGTAGCAGCTCCAGACCTCCTACGCTACATTAACACACAGTCTATTCTGTATATAGTATATGGTTATAAACTATATAGTTTATATAGTATAATGTATGTTTTATATTGTATATAGCTATAGATTGTGTATTCTTTACATATATCTAATTTGCACCATTGCATCAAATTCCTTTTCAGTGCAAACCTATTTGGCAATAAATCTGATTCTTATCTTTTTTCTGACCTGATCTGGGTTCTGCTACACATAAAACAGTAATGATTTTATGTATAGCAGATTTTCTAAATACGAAAAATGGATTCTGCAATTGGGAATTCACTTCAATCCACACAAAGTAAAAATCTAGGGTCAAAACTTGTTAAAGGTAACAAAGAATAAAATCCCCCATACAGTAATGCATTCTGCACAGACTTACCTTACACCTGCACTGCAGGCAGGGTCCTCTCCCAGCGGGGGAAAACTCTTCTCCATTAGCATACACGTTCCCATCAAACTCACAATCTTCAGCAAAAAGGAAAAAAAGCATTTAGTCTTTGCTTAGGTTTAAAAAAAAAACAAAAAAAGAATGCTTACATATAAAAAAAAAAGGACACATGATAAAAATATTCCCTGCTGACCTTTGCACTCAGAACAACATTGTCCAGTCCTCTTTGCTGGATGACTGCAGTCTGGTGCAGGACAAGAGCCCCCCCTTCGTTCACAGGACACCTCACCATCCTAGGAGATAGATTTTAGATGGTATTTGGGACAGTCTAATGCTAGGTATACAGTATCTGTAATCTGAATGACAGAACAGAATAAGATTATTATTTTAAAGGCTCTATAAATCATATCCTATTTAAATTAGCTTGTTTGCAAATTTCAACAGTGACAGCGTTTTGTTTCTACCATTGCTCTTTTTGTATATCAGAAGCTGTAAGATAGGAAAATCACTGCTCTAGATCTCAAATTTTAAGGAACTCACAGAGCAGCGGCAGTGAAGGCAGGGGTCAACCGAGGAGGTGAACGTCTGGCCTTTCACATAGACCACTGACTCATATTCACACGTGTCACATCTACAAATTACAGAACAGTTAAGCTTAGGCAGAAAAACAAAAAAACATGAGAGTGATTGTAACAAATCCATAATCTGACTAATACTAATAATCAGATGTAAGTATTGTGCATTAGTTTTTGAATGCTCTTTACCGAGGGCAACAGTCACCGGCATGATGTACAGGGTTGTGACAAGTCAAATGAGGGCATTGAATCATTGAACACACCATATTTCCATCCTAGGAGTTATAAAAACACATATATACGTTAAAATCAACCCCTAAATTCAATATAAGAAAAAAATAAACACAGTTTATTAATAGTTATCTACGTACCGCACATCTACATTCCTGACAGGGGTCTCTGGGAATCACAGCTCCATTAGGGTAGTAATGTCCATTTACATTGCAGTCTACATGATACAAACAGACACAGACACATATGGACCCTCCTTTATTGGTTTAACTCCACAAGTAAAAGAGAGAAACCCACCGTGACAAACTGGACAGCAGCTATCAGGGGGAGGAGGTGCAGGATTTTCACAAGGGATATGGCACTGCTGCATCGCACAGCTAACCTGACCATCCTGATCCCCGAAAGAAACAGAGTTACTGAAGATAAAGTCAAAGGCTGGAAAATGCACGCTTCAGACTTTTTTTTTCTTTTCTTTTTTATCTCACCAAGCAAGTGCACACTTCACAGGCATTCTCTGCTGACCTCCACTCAGCTCCATTGTCATACCTGACACCAAAATGGGTACAACCTGCCAAAACACACTTTCGTTTATTTATATTCTTCTTCCAAACATTAGCATTAATAAGACTAATTTAAGAAAAAGGAAAACTATTATAAAAACAAACATTTCAGTTGTAGTTTTACTAGACATTGTGTACATAGCTGTATAATAGCATGTTATTTTTTATCACATATTTGAAGTTTTTCACAGTTCCTCATGTGGAAACTTAAAACTTAACTGCTGTGCTTAACCAAATAGAACAATATTTTTTATAGAACATTTTTATTTGGTTTTCATTCCCTTTTACAAATACTTGGATGCTTCCCTTTATATAACTTCAGTAGACATTTGTTTGGGCTGTATTTTACTTAAGGGGAATCAAAACCAACAAGGTTTAATAAATGGCTTTTGTGATGTCAATTTTCCTATAAACCTGTAAACGGGCGCAGGAAAACAGAACCAGTAGTTCAGTTTGTATATTATCATTAGGTAAAATAACCCTGCTACTATATTTCTTTAATACTGTTGATATATTTCAACAGAACCAAAACATTAAGATTGAATAAGGATAATACAATAAAATACAGAACCTTGTTTGCAGTCTGCAGTTGGTGACACTGTGCAGTCATCTGGGGGGCATGGCTGAGGTGAACAGTCCCTGTTACCACCCTGGTACCAGAAAATAAACACAAAACAAGACAATGAACAAATAAATAAAATGAACTTCATAGATCAGAGCATTTCTTTTTTAGTGAGTGTCCAGAGTCAACTTCCCACCTTACACGAGCATGTCTGGCAGCCATCAAGAATGTTATAGGATACGTTGTGAACTCTACAATCTGGATGACACCCTAAAGATGACACACATATTTAGCACTGTTAGGAATCAAATATGGTAGATTTCCAGGGGTGAAAGAGACCAAATGAGAAATTTCCAGAGGATTGTCTATAAAATCATAAAACTATTTCTAATAAGGGAGCTAAAAGTATCTAGATGTGATAGAAAACATTGTTGCACATCAGAGCCTAAAGGAAATGTCATTTTCACTTAGCCTAGATATCTCAGCAGTTAATTACTTTAATGACAGACCTCCAGAGGACAGAAACAATGTGTTTGTGTATGCGAGTGCACAATAATCAAGGAGGGAGACATGGACTGGTAGGGCTGCCTACTGTGCAAGTAGCCAACACACATGCAAAGGAGATCAAAGGAGAGGTGATTGTGTGTTCTCTTTTAGTTTGATGCCTGCCCGCACAGGAAAATTAGGTAAAAGATGAAAGATGACAGATAATGACATAGGAGCTATTCAACTCCATAGAACCGTGGTCATTTCTCACCAAGATCCAGATCCCCATGTGAAAAAAATAAGGGATAGCTCATTACGATATTAAAGCTTTTGTTGCACTTGCTCTGCATGTATGCAGAAGATAAAAAAAAAAAAAAAAGTCTGTAAAGTAGTTCTAAACACAAAGGAAGGTTAAACTTTGTAACAGACCACCACAGGGAAATACAGTAAATGGTGCATGTTTTACTCAATTTAATTGTTTGATGAGTAGAATAATAAGATTTAAGTCGTAAACCAGATAAGCTACTATCCGGTCTGAAAATGATTGTTAAATACAAGCTGGTCTCAGAACATATCAGTTTTATTAAAGTTATCTACCGAAGTGTATTTAAAACACTGTTCCTGAGGAATAGGATGGAAATGTCAGGTTTCTGGGTTTGAGCATTCTAGGACTGGTGTAATAAGAGCAATGAAACATGGTTTGGCATCAAAATGTCAAAACCAAAGATGTGCTTTTATTCTAAAGGAGATGTAGTTACCTATTTAATACCCTATGCAATAACTATTTCCTATTATAATATATTGACTATCAATTTAGGTCTAATAACAGAAAACAATCGTGTCCAAAATAGAAACCAAAAGCAACCCTAAATTGTACCGATACTGAGAACAACATTTATATAGAATAAAAAGAATATGTAACTTTGGCAGGAAATCAAAAAATCAACCTTAAGATGAACAAATTTTTATCACCTGTATTTTTGTTCTCGGTTTTGCAAGTGACCTTTCCAGATGAACACAAACACATAGTCGTGGGGTCACTCTGCCATCGTTGTCCCTCTTCCATTTCATGTCCCTCCCATACGCATCGATGCTTCACACACTCACATCCTTCCAGGTATGTCACGCGGGATAGTAGATCCACATTCTTTTACAGACCAGGAGAAGAAATCTATATTAGCTTTGGCATATTTTAAAATGCGGAGCATTTTGGCTATAATTATCACCTGAGCTTTGACCATGTCCAGCATACGAGCCATCTCTTCCACTGTGCTCACCAGCCTCTCCAGCCTGTCAACTGTCAGTTCCTGGTAGGCTCCATGAGGAGAGGCTGGAGGCCCCAGCACTGCAGGCCTGTGCTGCTGATCTCCCTGGATGTCCCTGGTATTATAGTCTGTTTGCTCCTGTGGCCTGTGGTCTGTTTGATGTTTACTGGGTGAGGTATCATGGTGGAACATATGGTTGGTTTCAGCAGGGAAATTTGGACCATGTGTGTCTTTGTTATGAGACTGAGGCAGGTCATCTGGAAGAAAACACAAATAGTTTGTCGTAGTAAAGGGAAGCAAAACATTTCTAAGTCTTTTTTTTCTAGATAAGCTGTAGGAAAACTGTGTTGTAAAGATTTATCCTAAAGATCACAAAAGGAAGACCCACGCTGGGGAAAACTAAAAAACAGGGAAATGTCTTGTAATGATCCTGATATAAAATCAAGCAGGAAAAAAAAAAAAAAAAGAAGAAATAATACAAAAAAAAATAATAATAATTGGATCCGGCGGTAGCCAGAGGAAACCTATGCATCAAGTCCTGTTAGAAAACAGATTTTTATTCAGGAGTTATTAAAATGTTATACCTGTAATGTTGTCACAGCTCCACGGACGGCTCACATACGGTTTCAGTGATAATTCGGCTATTTTCAGATATCCCTACATAGAAATAAAAAATGATAAAGTTGTATTTTACAACCACTGCTGTTTTTTTTTTTTGTTTTTTTTTTCCTTTTCCAATCTCTTTGATGTTTACGTTTTATATGTCTTTGATCAGTTAATATTATGAGTCCTGGAATGTCATAAATCCAATCGATTTAAACAAAAAATGCTTTATAAATTACATTCTGAAAAACAGACAGACACTGCACAATACCCTAAACATCCCATCCCCTAAGTGACACATGCTGGACCATGACGGCAGCAGTATTATGTGGTGGGAATCCTTTTTTCTTAAAAGGTACATATATAAGTGGTCAAATTGCTTGGAGAAGCAAGGAGTGAAATATAGGACATTTCTGGATACATAAACTGTCAGACTTGCTAAAGGCTTAGGACTATGGAGGACGTTCATCTAGCAGCGGGACAATAACACTAAACACAAAGCCAATTGTACAAGATAACTATTTTTTAACAAACATAACTGTCTTAGAATGACTCAGCCAAACTCCAGACATAAATCCAAGATAGATCATCTACTTTCTGTTGGTCTGTCAAATGAAATTGCAGTTTGGGAGGGATATTTCTAAATGCCTTTTACTCCATGTACATGAAACTTACATTAAATTTGCCATCTTGTTTTCCTGGTGTGCTCCCAACAGCAATTACAACATCATGTGGAACGTCCAACCTGACCCTTTCTCCACTTTTCATTCCTATAACAACAGCTTCTTGACAATTGGCATAAAACACCAATCTCTCCGGTTCCAGGCTCACAGCCAGCTTTACCCATTTACCCCCAGAGGCAGGACTTGTCCTCGGAAAAGGAAAGCTGGAAAGTAACACTCCAGCAGAGTAGTAGTCCAAATGCAGAGAGTTATTGATGGTGGAGGAGATGATTTGGAGGATGGGAGCGGATGCTGTGGAGAGAGAAAAGAGGGTAGCACTGGATCCTGATGCCTGACGTAAAACCAAATGCACAGCGATGCTGCCTTGAAAGTTGGAGTGCAGGAAGCTGGAGTATTCCTCAGGAAGGATCAGGGGGGCTGCTTTTGAACGGATCTTATACATCGGGCCGCTTTGACTCTGCAGTCTGGAAACACCACCTCTATGCTGAGATAAGTTTAGAGCTCCTAGAAGGTCAATTGCTGCAAAAAGAGAAAAAAAGAGAAGAAAGCCTGAATCTATGCTTCATCGGGGCAGAATAATGACCTAGATCCTGGATCAGGATGTTAGTAAGTGGTTATGGCAGTCATTTCCTCATAGAATGAGGTGCCAATGATGATGCTATCAGTCCAATCTGTATGCCTGGAGCACAACAGCAAAAATAATTTGCTAAATCAGTTCTACTATCAAAAACTGTTCCTATCTAATAAACAAGAGATAAGACTTTTTGTTGGAAGCAGCTTAAAAGGTTTTGGCCTTTATAGAATCATGACAGCTGTCAACTCTGCATATATAAGTGACAAAAAAAGAGCATATATACCGTATATATATATATATATATATATATATATATATATATATACATATCAATGAAAAGGGGGTCATTGTTTTGGGGTGCAAAATGTGGAGCTGCTGAGATTTGGGTACATCTGTGATAATGCTGAAAATCCATATTATCCATCAGTGTCTATTCCTCTAAGCCAGGCATCCCCAAACTCGGTCCTCGAGGGCCGCTGTCCTGCAGGTTTTAGAGGTTTCCCTGCTTTAGCACAGCTGATTATGATGATTGCAGTAGAACAAAAGCCTGTTAATCAACTATCAATTAAAATCAGCTGTGCTGGAGCAGAGAAGCATCTAAAACCTGCAGGACAGCGGCCCTCGAGGACCGAGTTTGGGGATGCCTGCTCTAAGCCAAGAGGATATGCATTTTTTGGCAAGGCTGAGGTTCATAAGACCACCAAGATCTGCATCTCCTCTGTTTTCACACCAAATATTGCTTATTTTTATGTAACTCATACCAGCGACTAGGAATACATCTGTAGTCATGCAGAAAGTTTTCAATGATAGATGTTTGTGAATCCTCTAATATACCGGGGATGCTATGTTTATGGCTGACTCTAAGGTGCCCGAAAAAAATAATGCAACCGCTTTTGGCATTTACTTAACCATATTGAGTTACTTTAACACAATTTTTTTATGTCCTACCCTGCTAACATGAGACACTGGTGTTAAAGTAACTCAATATGAGTAAGTAAACGCCAAAAACGGTTGCATTATTGTTTTCTGTGATTTTAACCACCTTATTTTATTAGGGATGCACGATATTGGGATTTTGGCCGATATCCGATATGCCGATATTTATGTAGCCGATAACCGATACCGATGTTAAAGCTGGACAAAAATAAGTAGTCATTGAAAATAACAGTTTTGTTATCCATTTCTGAAACTTTGAAAAATAATATACTCAAATATATTTTCATATGCTGATATCAAATAGATTTTTAAAAACGCGGTATCGATCTATTTTACTTTCAAAATCTCGTGAAATTTCATCGTTCTGTTACAAACTCTCGTGATATTTAGCAAATTATTGTGAGATTTTGTTAGTAAAATAGATCGAAACCGCGTCAATATATCAACATATAAAAATATGGCAAAATTTCGATGACATATAGCAATATTTCATTAGTAAAAGAGATTGATATGGTGTTTTTAAATGGCAATATATCAGCATATGAAGATATTGTGATATTTTAATGTATCAATATTTTTTCCCTTATCTTTAGAAGTTTTTAAGTCTGTAAAAAAGAAGTTTTTGAGGAAGAAGTAGTAGTATTTTTTATTTTTTTTTTAGACTTTAGAAACTCAGAAGCTGATCAAATATCGGGTTAAATATCGGTGGGGTGGCCGATGTCCGATATTCAGTTTTAAGGCCGATACAGGCCGATACCGATAGGGGGCCGATTATATCGTGCATCCCTATATTTTCTTTTTCTTTTTTATGAACTACACACGACAAACTAAGAACACATACTGTAAGCATTACTATGAGACATGTTCGATCATCCGACCTATTCCTTAAAGTTTAAAACACATCCCCTCCGTTTTTTATTTCAATGACATTTACAACAGTAGTTTAGAGTACATGTGAGAATATATTGGTAATTCCAGGTGGGGATTTACCATCAGGCAATACTAGGCAGTTGCCCAGGGCCCAAAGTTCCTGGGGGCCCCATAAAACTCTGTTTATTCATTCATGTATGGTTAATAGAACTATTCCTTATTTGTGCAGATTAATTATGTTTCTGGTAAAGATCCTTTAGCTAAAATGCCATCAGCAGCAAACCATTTGAAAACAAATGATGCAAAGAGCAGTATTGCCAACTTAACACTTGTCCCTATATTTAGTGACTCTTCAGACCCCTCCAGTACTTTTATTTCAAAAAAAGCGTTTTGTTTTATGTGTTGTCTTCTCGGTTCAGAGGGTCCCCGGCCTGTCTTTGCCTAGAGCCCAAAATTTCCTAGATCCGCCCCTGGGTAATGCTATATCAGCTAGAAGTGTTTATTCATGTAAAACAGCAGGGGAGGCATGCTTCGAGCAGCCATTAAAGCTGCACTGCCAAAGTGCGTAACAGTGCACCTGTAGAAGTAGACATTATTCTAAAATGTTGGGTAAATCTAAATATTACATTTTAATATGATAAATCTAACTCTACAACCTAAATCTAATTTCTAAATGTTATTCTATATATAAATATTAAATCTATATCTCTTAGACTTACATAAACTTTGTGATTTTGTATAAACAGAGTGTAGCTACACAAAACGAAATTTTGTTTATGCCGATTGTAGACAGTGAATGAGTAACAGCTTAGCAGTAAAGAGGAACATTTCCATTCATAAAGTACAGCAGTGATCAAATATAAGTGTGGGAGAAAAACATGGTGCAAAAAAGCATTGATGTGGAAGTTCAGAGCAGTGCAAAAAACAAATAAGTATATGTGGTGCAAAAATGCAGTAGATCTCAATCTTAAATCATATCTAAATCTTCAATCCAAATTTTTATCTTAAATCTAAGACTGACATTTTGGGAAGACATGCTAAATAACCAGGCATCCAGCAACTTGGAGGGATATATAGATATATATAAGTAAAATATGTATAATCAAATCTCATTTACATTGAAGATTTATTTATTTAAGATATATTTTAGCTTTATCTTTCGTTTTTGAATTTAAGACTTAGTTGTATGACTTTGATTTAGATATGTAAGATATAAATATAGATGTAGATATGTAATCACATTAGGATTTAACAGTCAAATTTAAGATATATTTAAACAAGAACAAATATAACAATTTGAATATTTATATATTTAAGATATATTTTAGATTTAACTTTCAATTTAGATTTAAGACTTAGTTGTACAATTTAAATACAAATACAGCACATTGAAAATTGAGGATTTTTAATTTGCCACTAAATGTTAGAAAAAAAAGCACTAAATGTAAAGACAGTGTGTTAAATTACAGAAATGTATTTACATTCTGCACCCCATACCTGAACAACTTTTGGTAATAATTACTTTAAAAAAAAAAAAATACATTGCATATAATCTCTTATTTTCTTAAGATTTATTTTAAAGCATGCATATAGTTTATCTTTGTCAAGTTGGGTTTGGAGGTTTGACAGGATCATAATGCAGACACAAAAGCTTGAGGTGGTTACTGGAAGGTTTAATAACAAAAAAGGGTAACAGAAGCAAAAATCCAAAAACATAAATCCACTAAAAAACTGAAGCCCAGGAATACTCACAACAAGGGGGCAAAGAAATGACGACAAACCAGCAAAGAGTGACTGAACAGGAGGAGAATAAATGGTAGAGAGAAACAAAGACCAGGCTAATTAGCAGATTGGGGGCAGGTGTGAACAGAGGGGCGAGAAGGGAGCTATGGAAAAGGAGACTGACACAAAACGGCAAAAAAGAAATATCTAAGAACTAAAATACAATCAAAAATAATAACTAGAACACAAGAATTGAAATAAGACCAATGAAAACTCAGAGGTAAAACTTGAACAGAACCCAAACCATGACCAATCTTAACTTTTCATAATTACGTTGTACATTAATATGCACTATATAATTAAAACTTCCTATATCTTTGCAGAAATAATTTTAGTTTCGCTTTTACTGCTTTTAAATTATTTAAATGTCAACGTTTGAAGCATCTTTAAAGTGTACATTGGCATAGATTTGGCGGTGGTTCACCATATCTCACCATTCTCCAGACTGGGCGCAGACTGTCCTTGCAAAGACATCGCAGAAAACCACAGGAAGTGGAGCAGCAGCAGCAGCACCGTCCTCGGTTTGCTGCTTTCCATTCTTCACAACAACATGGAGCACAATCCGAACACTTTATGCGACGGTTCTGTTGCTCATTGTCCTTTTTATCCGATCTGATGCATTAGGGTCATATAAGCCCTTCCCAGCGCTTCTCAGTGATCTCTCCAGAGAGCGCGCGAGGCGAAAACATGAAACATCTGGATACAGGCAGGACGTCACTGCTCTGAAGTCTCACTCTCTTTCTTAATCCCCCCAAGGGGCCTCTGCTTTACTATTTGCAGTAAACTGAAACACATTAACAACTTTTTTTGTGCATATGTTCAAATGCAACCTAGGAAGAGGATGGGAATGCAGGCATCAGGTTAAAAGTTCAGGTACTCAGTCTGTGGGAGGTCACCAAATGCTTTTCTCTTTGTGCCTTTTCTGAAACGAGCATATATTTTTGCAGGCTACATTTATTGTCTCCTCTTTTTTTTCTTCGTTTCCCCCTTTTTTATTTTTGCTAGAAAAAAATCAAACAAACAAAAAAAAAACAAACAACTCCAGTCTTCACTATTCAGTGGTGTTAATGCTCTTGTTCTGGAAGTCAGCTAAAACCTGGTGTGGACCCTGGAGGGGGAGTTATCCTGAAGCTTTGGCTAATTTGTACACATGGAGAGAAAAGACAGAGGGCGGGGGATAAATACAGCCTTGGTTACTTTTGGAAAAAGTCCCTGAGTTCATCTCACTGTGCAATAAAACCACTCTCTTCTGTCTCCACAAGAATTCCCACAGATCTCCAAAAAGTCAGTTAAGTTAAATCCGAGGATCATAACAGATAAATCTAAGACTTTCAGCACCAAAAATGTTAATTATCTACCCACATTTCTTGATTTAGCATTGTGTGAGGATAGTACTTAAAAAAAAAAAACAGATGTCTATACTTTAGGATTCATCAGCCTGAAGGTTCTGTCATCGTTCTGTTGTCAGACTCTTGTCCCACATCATCCACTGCAGGAGATCCATGCAGGGTGGCTAAATGCGATCTAAGGTCTTCTCACTCTCATTCCACATACCAAACAAAACCTCACCTGTGACTCTGACTCATGCCTCTTTGTCTGTAATAACACAATTTAACCCCCATCCCCCAAAGGCTCTAGATGATCTATGTTTTTACTCATACATCCTTTGAAGATCTTAATGCTTTCAGGCCATGGGGGCTGATTAAGAACTTAGATTAAGAGGAGAGCACAAGAGACATTGCAGCAAGCGAGGTGACTGTAGACTGTAAAACATGCTCCTAATGCTTGGCACTGATATGGGTGACTAAAAACCAAACAGATGGCAATGGTTTTTAAGGATGAAAATAAAATGGGGTTAAACGCGAATACCAGTAACTATTCTCACATTTTCATTCTTATAAAAAATAATGATGAAATTGAAGTCGCTGGTTTTTCACACAGAAGTAGAATAACTTTGAGTTTTACACATAAAATAGCATTTTACACTAAAACCTCAAGTCAGAAGGTCACATCCTTTACACGTTTGTGGTTTCCCCCAAATGCCTTGTGGCAACCTGTAAATGGGACTTCTGGCTCTCTTCCAATAATATTTTTTTTTTGGTCAGGCGCGTTCTTGGTCATCATGTTGTCGTCTTTTTCATTGACATATTCCAGCAGTCCTCTGACATCTTCACAGAACAGCTGGATTTGTAAATACGTTTGATAAGCACACACAAACATATATATATATATAGTATTCCAGTATTGCTAATCACTTTAATGTTTGTCAAATTAGATGAGTTAGATTTGTGTTTTAATGTGGCAGAATGGGAATAGGTTCAAGGGGTCAATCATTTGACTTATCTTCTGGCAACAACTCTGCTGACATCCAGTGGTCATGTCCAGCTATAGTATAGAAACATTTGCTTTCAGTCATATGATGAAACAACCAACTAATTTAGATACCCAGTATCAAAACAACAACACAAACTAGGTCAGTGTTCAACATTTCCTCCTCTTTGGTAATTTTAAAGGTTCTATATCATGCTTTTTTTTTTACTTTCAAAATGAACAGTTGGCATTGCCCCTAAGAGGTATTAATTTGATATTAAACATGAGCTCTCCTTTGGTGCTTTTTCTTATCACTTCTGCTTATAAGGTCAATTTTTAGTATGACTGAATCTGAGATCTCTTACAGCCCAAAAAATATTTAAATATTTGCTAAAAAAAAAAAAAAAAGAAGAAGAATATACTGTCAATGTCCAGATTTGCTTATAAAAGAAACACGTATTCTTGACTTTTAGCTTCCAAAACAGCTCACTGATCGTATAAAGTGAGTGTGTCTCTTCCAGGATTAGACTGGTCATCACTGTTCTACATAAAACACTGATGGTCACTTGTATTTCCCAGACAGGGAGCAGCTGCTGCTCACACAAGAAAATTCATAAGGATTACTTAGACATGCATCAAGCAAAATATAACCCTATAGAAAAAAAATTAGATTAACTGAAGCCTCTGTGTCTTTGTGTTTTTCATGCCTCTGCATGCTGTGACAAGAGTGTAAACGGGTGCAGGTTAATCTTCACAAGGTAAACAGCCGCCATTTGATAGCTAATCCCATGTCAGGCTCCATTAGTTTGTCACACAGTGCTAATTGAATAAATCCAGCTGGCAAATGCTGTGTAAAGTACTTGCTTGGACCCTTATAACAAGCTGTGACTTGAACAGTACTCTGAAATATGCATTAATGGTATGGGGAATGCTGCTCAACGAAACCAAATGAGACAATGGCACGTTAGTGCTGGATGTGTTTCTTTCCTCTGGAGGTCAAGTGACGGTCAGATCTCCAAAAGGAACCCCTGACTTGGTCTTTGAACCTACAGTTAGGTTCTTGCCACCTCTAATCTGATCGGAGTCTTGACCAGATAAAGCCCCACCTTTATTTTTCAGCCTCTGAGCTGGCGTTTATCCCAGGACACACAGCATAAGCTGTTGTCTGCTCTTTCATTTGTAACAGGGAGGGGAGTGGGGGCTTAGCTTGTGTGTTTGAGACAGGCGGTCTGATCTACGACTGACCATAGTTTATTCCCGAAACCATCTTTTTATCTCTATTTTCGGTATTTACCGGATATCTGGCATTTCAGGAATCAAAGATGTTGTGTTCATCGCAAATTAGAAGAAGATGGAGGCTGACAGGAGAGCTGCAAGGGATTTGACAAGAGCAGGTCAGTCAGCTTGAGTCCCTTTAACAGAGTAGATTGGAGGGTATCCAATAAGTTGGGCATGTAATGGCAAGTACCTTGACATCCGTCTCACTCTGCTTAATGGTGTGTTTTGATCTGGATGTTATTGCAGATTATTTAGATACAGTTTACTCAAATAAAATGGATTAAAAGAGGTACATTTACAAAAGACACTGGGAACCTGGGAGAAGCATTAAGATTTTAGTATTAAAAAATGATTAAATGCCAACCTTAGAATCTTCAGTAATTATCAGCAGATATTGTGATTAGTGCTTATGAATGAAAAAGGAGATAAGAAAAGCTGAAAGGTCAAAATGAAATAAATAGCAAAACCCACTTTGATAGATTTGAGTATTATACAACAAAGATGTCTTTATTTATGTTCTTTTCGTCTCACAATCTGGTGATGATTCTTAAAAATATATGTGCAGGAGTGCATTAAGAAAAGTCTTCTGACAAAAGATAACATTTGTGTTTGCAGTTTCCTTTCCTTTTACTGAACAAGAACTGGTTTCTGAGGAATGGCCCTCTCAGTGACCATTCATTCAACTCTGTTGAAAGCATTGCTGGTCCTTTTATGTCTGCGCGCAGTTGCAGGTATAAATCCACTTTGCAACTTGCAAAGATTTCCTCAAAGGTGTCAAGAGATTGCCTCTCCTGACATCATGCTTCTGTATCTTTTTTTCTCAGGCATGTCTGGCTGGTCTGAATGTTTAGAGGGTCAGAATGTATTTGTAAAAATAAAAGAAAACAGTCCCTCTGGAGATATTGTCGCTGCGTTTGTGATGGAAACCGGCATGGAAGGAGTTTGGTGGAGTCTGTCTGGGAAGGATGCTCACTGGTTCTACTTAGACGGAAGAAACATCCGGCTGAACACGTCAGATGAAAAGATCCTTGACCGAGAGGTAATGAGGATGTGTTTCCTTTAGCAATACACAGTAAAAGAAAAAACATGTCTCATTACTACAATCTAAAAAGTGACCTTAGTGATAGTCTGGCATCACAGTGAAGGAGTTTTATCAAATCTATTAAACTGATAAAGAAAAAAAAAACCTCCAACCCTGTCCTCAGATCTCACACTTCATCTTGTCAGTTTGTTCCCAGCCAGCTGCCTTCAAGTGGTCAAAGCTGAAGGTCGACCAGATTAGCTGTCTCTCTCTCTGAGCCTCAGTCTCTGCGTCTCTCACTTTATTGAAAAAATACAGGATAAATAAAAGTTGTGGCCCACAAACTATAAGTGTGAGCCTACAAGGTTTGCATGGTCACCATCTACACTAGAGACATTTTGCTTTCTTTTATGTTTAGTTGTTCAGATGCAATGTAGAAATGTCTCTACATTTTAAAGCATCTTACTAAAAGCTGGATTTACAGCAAATGTAAAGTATCCCGATTGTAAATATATTTAAAAGACATTTATCAAAATTAAAAATGGATCTCAAAATTGCAACACTCATAAAGAATTATTTTGAACCAAACAGCTGAATAAGAAGGTTTGTCCTTTAAAAAGAGGCTGATTTGAGTTGATGAACTGTTTTCAACAGCAACGCTGAAAGCAATTACAGAATGACATTTTCATTAGAAATAGACATGAACTGCTGGGTTTAGTCTCTTTAAAATGTGAATACAGATCGTCAACAAAAGCAGATAAAAAGTTGGGCAATAAAGTCAAAATAAAATGTAATAAGGTCACCTTCTCTTTTTATATTTTTATATTTTTATTCATGACATCTACCATTGCATGTTAACACAGTTTGTTTATATGGGCAAGTTTTCAAGCAATATATATTTGAAGCAGAATGGTAAATGTGGTATGTTGTAAAATAGCACATTTATATGTTCAACTGCTTTGCACAAGATCCTTCATGGTAAAAGAAAGCTGACAGGAACCCAAAGTCAAAAGTAGGGAAATATTTTTGTTATTGTTTTTTTTAGGTCTAAAATACACAATTTTCAAATGTGAAAATGCTGTGCAGCAAATTTTTATAGTCCTACGCCTAAATGTTAAGGTCATTTTTCTGCAATCAATTTGAGATAAATTCTGTACAACCTTAAATGGAACAAATACTTTAGCATTATTGATTCAACACCTGAAATCCGTCTTTTGGTAAGGAATGGGAAATAATGCCCTCAGTATTAGCAATATTTATCCAATCAGTTCCAAAAAGTTGTTCATATATGTTCTATTAGGAGGTCTCACAACTAGAAGGAGTGATATTTGACTTTTTGTTAGAGTATTGTTTATGTTAAATTTCATTATACACAAGGATTTCAAACTCCTTTATAAACATTTATATGTTTATCCTCTCCTCCAGAAACTTGGTCCAATCTTAATGGCAGAGCTATCATGTTACGAGCGAGACATGTCTCAGGTACATTTCAAACTTCTTTCCCATCCTTTGTTTCTCTTTACGTCAATCCAGAGGAAATCATAAAAATGCACTTGTTTTGTTTTGTTGCAGACTTTTTACAAAATCACGGTGGAGATTCTCAATGAGAATGATAATTTACCCATGTTTTCAGAAGAAAGTGCCCGGTCAATTACTTTGAGTGAGGTAAGACATTTTAACAAATGAACTGGTACAAACTCAACCTCATATTCAAGTGTACCTCTAAGTTTATGAATCTTTTTCTGAATATCTCTATGTTTTATTCAGCTGACTCCAGTGAATACTGTGGCTTTTACCGTCCAAGCTTTGGACGCTGATAATGATAAGATCATTTATTCAATTGACCAGACATCTGTAAGTTTGACATTTAAACTCCTGAAATTAGTGTATAAATGAGAAAGCAGTCATTGGTTGATCATGTTTCTGTGTCGCAGCCTGACGCCAAGTACTTCAGGATTGATCTGCCAAACAGCGGTGAAGTGATCCTTTCCAAACCTTTGGACTATGAGACCCAAACTCAACTCACCGTCACTATTCATGCATCTGTTTGTAACAAGGCTATTACCTTTTTTTTTTTTCTTTTTTTTTTATAATCCTACAAAGTGTTCATGCAAATAATCCATCTCTGATAAACCCTGCCCTTTGTTAGCAAGCAGTGGCATCCTATAGGACAGAGCTCTGTCTCTAATAGTGGAGATATGGTATCAGAACTGCTTGCAGAATCTTATCTAGGCATGTCTCTGCACTGAGATTGTCTACAGAGATAAGAAAAATTGTTTTTCTTCTTGTGAGGGAGGTGCCAAAGAAAAACAAAAGGAAAACAGATCACACTCCCTCTACCAAAAGCTGTTTGGCATTGGCAGAAAGGATATTGCAAGTTTGTTATAATTAACTGCTTAACCTACTAAAGTATTTTTCTAATTGATGTGGCCCCATTTAAGGGTCAATAGGCTCTATGCGCAGCTCCACTACTTCCTGAATTTAATACAGCTCCTTTGTTTCCTGTCTTTCATGATTGGATGCACTGATTAATCCAGGTGTGTATGACCTAAGTAACTGGCCAGACACACCTGGATTAATCAGTTCGTCCAGTAATGAAAGACAGGAAACAAAGGAGCTGCCTTAAATTCAGGAAGTAGTGGAGCTGTGCATAGAGCCCATTAATCGGGCTTTTCAATAGTATAGGGATGTTGCAAAGGGTTGCTACACAAAAGCTGAAAAACAAAAAAATCAACTAAGCATAAATCTCTTTATTTTTTAAACCAACTTTATGTGTGTCTGTATTGTTTGTTTTCATGTACAGCTTGTGTGGATTTTAGAAAATTCATGATAAATGTAAGTTTTTGATTAAATGTACTTTACCTTAGTATCATGTAACTTTCAAATGTCAACTAGGGGGGTGAGGTTGCTTGAGTACCCCAATGCAGAGATGAGTGAAGCAGAGATAAGTTCTTGTTGGTTTAATGTAAAACTGAGGCAGACATCCAAAAATACAAAGAACCAAAAACCAGAAAATGTTAGGGAAAACTCATGTGGGGAGCCAGAGACGATAAAGACACTAACAACAACAAGGAACCAGCAAACAGTGACTGAACATGAGGTGAATAAATGAGAGACTGAACAAAGACCAGGCTAATCAGCAGATTGGGAGCAGATGTGGACAAAGGAGTCTAGAATGGAGTTAGGGAAAAAGAGACTGACACAAGAGGGCAAGAGAAGGCAATACCTAAGAAATCAAAAACAATCAAAATGACCAGAATAACACAAAATGGAAATGAAAAAATAAAATAGAAAACACTGAAATACATGAATCAATATATAACTGAAAACTTAAATAAGAAAACTTAAACAGAACCAAAAAATGCAGAGTCATGACATCAAATAATGCATGACTTTGCTGATGACACTTTGCTTGTTCACATGTCAGGAAATGAACACTGCTGAGCACTACAACATCAGCACTAACGTCAGCATTACGGTCCAAGATGGAGATGACCAGTACCCACAGTTTCAACCCTGTGTCCTGCTGTTCCATGACGAGAACAGTCGAATTTGTACCAGCCCCGTCTACATGGTCAATGTCACAGAGGGAGAGGAGGTTTGCTTCTTTACCCACCTTGAAATATATCACGCCTTTTGTCATTTTTTCTCTCACACGTTTAAACATGTGACCACTTAACTCTGTCCCTTTCTCACCAAGTGATAGATGTGAGATATATCTGATTCTATCAGCAACACATGTGTAACATTTACAGGACATTCTGCTGGACTTTTCTCCGGGTCCAATTCATGCAGTGGATGGAGACAGAGGCCTCAGTTCTTCCATCAGTTATGCCATTATCTCAGGTACAGCACACAAAATATCACATCATGAGAAATGTACTGTAATTGTTGCATAAAAGTAACTCTGTTTGGGCTCATGTTAGAAGATGAAGAGGGGCATTTCAGTATCAACAGAGAGAATGGTGAGTTAAGACTGACCAAGGGTGTGAAAGACAGACTCCTAACTCCAGTGCTGCGACTTCAGGTCATGGTAAGACTGGGCAGTTTTTTAAAGAATCTTCCGATGCTACATCACTCTACCATGGCTTTCCATTTGTGTCCAGGCGTACCAGAATGACGATCCCAGGAAGTACTCAGTTGCGACAGTGTTGGTCCGGGTTCTGGCAAAGAACTGGTTTCATCCAGAGTTTGAGCTGCCTGAATATCACGGCTTCGTAACAGCTGGAAAGAATGCAGCCTCTCTGGTCAATACGTACGGAAGCAGAGCTCTGATTTTAAAAGTCCTGGATCCAGATTTTGATCATGTAAGGATTTTAAGTATGCACAGAATGCATAGGAAGTACTCATTTCCCTTGAACCAATTGTTACAATAAAAAGACTCTTTCTACCTCATCAGAATACTTTTTGATAGACCAAAGCAGGAGGATTTAAATGACTGATGGTTCTAAATCAGTTCATATCCTTCATACAAATACAACCCTTTAACTCTTTTATCTTTATATAAACTCCAGAGCAACCAAAACTGTCTTCAAAAGTTTTTAAATACAATATAATTATGTGTGATTAGATCTCAGCATAAATACAGGCCAAAGATTAAAGAAAAGAAAACTAGAATATAATACAAAAACTGTAATATAAAGCACAGAGAACACAGCACACAGGACAGGGATAAACTTCTGCAAAGGTTTCAAGGAGAGATCAATTTTAAAACAATATCAAAAACTTTAAAAATCTGTAAAGCCAAACAAGGACATCGTTAATCAGAGAAACAGTGACAGGCCCCCTAAAGATGTTGGAGATGCTGCAACGAACTTCAGCTAATGTAAAAGAACCCAATGAAAGGATCATTAGCCAGCCACCAATAGTCAGACTGATTATTGGTGGATGGCTGATCAGTCATTCAGGGGAAAAAGTAAACAAACAAATAAGAAAAAAAAATACATGTTCTTGTTTAATCAAAACATGTGAAAACTAATTCCAGTGAAAATGATAACGGCAGCATCATGCGGTGGGGATGCCTTTTTTCTACAGGTTCAAGGAAGCTAGAATTTATGCTAATTAAAGCTGCAAAAGACTTGAGTCTGGAGCAAAGGTTCGCCTTCAGGCAGGAAAAAGAGCCAAATCAAAAACAATTACACATTAGAACAGCCTTGATCTAAATGTTTTCAAAAGCAGAATTGGTTAAGAAGATTCATGTCTAGAATTGCAAATCTGTTTGAGAATACCACAAAAGCTAATTCTGCAAAATATGAAATCAGGCTGAACTCATAAAGTATAAAAGCCTTTTAGAACCTTGAGTAATAAATAATAATTTCTTCACTTTACTATTCTTTGGTTAACCACAAAATGATTAGAGAATGAAAATTATTAGAGTTGTTAATATTTTTGCAAAACTCTATAAACTGTGTGAACTTTATTTAAAATGCTCTATTAAAGTTTTGTTCTTTTATTTTGATGACTGATGGGCTTTTCTCCTCACAGGCTTTTAATCCAATGATCCACTTTATGTTTGCTGCAACATCCAACCACACCGACATCTATCAAGTCACACGTGGAGGACTCATAATAGCAAGGACCAGTCATCTCAAGCCAAATCAGAAGCACATCCTGGAGGTAGGACTTAAATATAATTTCCGTCTGTCGTTTTGTTCAGCTCAGTTTAAATCTCACCAACACAAAGACAACATTCATGTTTTACAAATTTAAAACACTGTTGAAGATTACAGCTGTAGACCAGGAATCCGGCGACGCTGCTTATGCTACTGTCACGGTGGAAGTGTTACCTGAAGGACAATCAAGTAAGCTCCTACAATGAAGCAACACTAACACCACTCTTGAGTGGCATGAGATAAAAAAAAAGTACAGCTTTTTCTCTTTTTACACTGTAGTCCCTCACAGTCCTCCGAGAAATGAACGCCTGACAGGCTGCACTGTGGGCAAAGCACTTTTCCTCAGCATGCTGTTCATGGGAGCCCTGGGATGTATCTTGTCTTTGTTGAAGTGGCTGAAGAGGAAATATAAAGGAATGAAAGACCCACTGGAGAGAGGCTGTGTGGCCCAGTGCAAACACCCCAATGTGGTGAGATGATTTTATTTTTCTTTTGCTGGAGTTATTACATTCAATTCCTCCTTGAGATTAGTAAAGTTTATTTTATTAAATCGAATTTACTCTGTAACAGAATACCTGTAGGAATAAGGAATACTTTATTTTAATGAAGGTAATGTAAGATTTACTTGCTTCTGAATCTAAGTTAACATGCATTGGAGGCTAAAATCCTTAAGGCATCTATATTTCAGACTGAAGCAGCAGCATCCTGTAAACGGCTGATCTCTCAAAACTGATCTCTGATTACATTTTTTAATTATCTTATTTTTTATGTTATTACATGTTTATTTTGTGTACTCCTCAAATGAAATGCCCCTGGTAGGATTAATAAAGTGGTCTAAGTCTAAGTCAGCTTCCAGTAGAACAGGAATGCTCTGCTCATTAAAAGGAACATTCAATCTGATTTCTATAGAGTGTTGTAGGCCTTCACTGTTATGAAAAAGCAATAGACAAGAACTGAAGTAGACCAAGAAACACTGTGGAAGGTGTACATGAAGCCAGTAGAACCTTAGACTTAGACTCACTTACTTAGACAGACTTTATTGTCATTTTGGACATACAGAGTGTAAACAAAAATACATTTTCTTCAGTATAGCTCTGAAGACATTTTCATTTTTAAAGTGCAAACCTGGGCTGGTTATTGCACCTTGATAATCAGAGAGAAGAAAATTGTCTAAACAATAAGAAAATCATCAGATTTTCTAAGAACTGAAAGCCCCCATTTTCATTATGTTGACAGCTATGTTAATGCCAGCTTTTCTGTGTCGATACATCCTGAATATATGTTGTACTGTTCTCCCACAGAGTTTACATTGGTTCCAACTGGTAAGTTTTGTATTGAAGCAAATCCTTTCCTTTCGTTTCGTTTCGTTTCGTTTCCTTTCCTTTCCTTTCCTTTCCTTTCCTTTCCTTTCCTTTCCTTTCCTTTCCTTTCCTTTCCTTTCCTTTCCTTTCCTTTCCTTTGCTTTGCTTTGCTTTGCTTTGCTTTGCTTTACTTTACTTTCTACTCATCAGTCAAACCTTTCACTTGCATCCTTTTTGTTCCTTCTGATTTTGTACCTATTTTATTACACCATTAAATAACAACTTTTCACTCTTAATATTCTAAATATTTTTCAAGAATTTTGGCTATAAATAGTCAATAAAATCCTTAAACATTGTGTATAAATAAGTTTCACTGATTGTATTTCATGAAACATGAGTATTTAACCACTGCTGGAGATAGGCACCAGCACCCCTCGCGACCCCACTTGGGACAAGCGTGTAAAGAAATTGGATAGATGGATGGATGAGTATTTAACCTGCATCTCATGTGTTTTCTTCATGGCTACATTTGGACCTTTAAAGTTTTATGAAAGTTAAGAGATTATGAGCTTAAGAAACAACTCTTGCTGATAGATATTGATTATTGGACTCAGAAAACAACATTTTCTAATGGCAGACTCTGATCAGAAAACAGAAAATGAATCAATCGGTAGCTGAAGCAGGTATGAATAGTCCCACTGACAGAAAGGAATTAAACAGAAACTGACATTCCTTCTTACAATTCATCCTTAGGTAAATCATCATACTGCTATGCCTAACATGGAGGAACTTTCCTTTCAAAATGAGGAATATGGAACCTGCAATCCTTCCTTTAGCCTTCCAGACACACCAGTCATTAACACCACTAAGGACGTTGCCGTCAGCACAGGGCCCTCTTCACCCAGACCAGCTTCTCTTACAGAGACCATCATCCCTCTTCCCACCGAAAGTGTGCAAAGCCCAGTGATACTAAACAATAGTCTTACTTCACCAAGCAAAATTTCCTGCTGCTCACCTGAATGTCCCCCAGAGATGAAGAACCTCAGCCCTAAGCATGAGGTAGATGCTGACAGGCAAGCTAAGGAAAATGCCAGCCTACCATATGATGTTACTTCGGACCCTTCTGAAGAGAAGTCTCACACAGATTTGGAACCAGTTGCCAATGACGACATCAAGCCCCCTCCTTTAAATGAACAAGATTTGCAAACAACCTCCTCCGACAACTTTGCAGAGTTAGTCCCAAGCCCATCTTCTCCATCTAGGAGCGAAACGGCTTCCACAGAAACGAACAAGCCGTTACCAGAAACCAATGCGGAGACAGCCCCACAGTTACCATCACCATCCCTTCTGCTCCTCAGAAAAACAGGAACACCTCCTCTCACTCTAGAGCATGGCCCTTTAAAAGCTACTTTGGTGCATATAGATACTTCCCCTACTGACACTCCTCCTGAGTCCCCAGTGGGAACAGAGCAAGCCCTGGATATTGAGGTAGACCAACCGTCCACCTCCCCATGTCATGTTGAAGCATCAGAGTCAGAAGGAGTCGTAGTGAACTCTGAAAGCCCATCACCAGAGAGGAGACCCTCAACAAACCCAGGAAATACCCTTAACAGTCATGAAGAGGAGGATGAGGAGGGTTTTCTTGGTGATGATGACGTGGACAAAAACAGTGAAGGTGAGAAGCTAATTAGAGCGACTGCTTAACGTTATATCCCTTTGATATTCTCATTCATTAAGACTTACATTTATCTTATCACAGAGGCCGAGAGTGAAGATGGAGCAAGTAAAAGGAATCTGGATGGCTAAGACCTGAAAATACATCAAGCAAGATTGAAAACACTGGACTGGTACAGCTGAAGCATGGAGAAGGATCCATACATGCAAGGCCACAGTACACTAAGAAAAGACTTTAAACAACACACAATGAACCTGAGAGTACGCACAAAGCTGACGCTACATACTACAGATGTTTTACAAAAACCAATGAAATTCTAATCCATTTTCACAGCAGCTATCTAAACAGACACACAATTTGTTTTTTGTTGTCATTTAATAATCTGTCTCCATGTTGGCTGTTTCTTTAGGTCCTGTTTACATATTTAATATGGAGAAGTTATGAGAAGCTTTACATGTACAATTAGTGTTGCAATTAGTTAACCCACCCTGATTTAATTTGTAGCCTTGGTCCCATTATTTTCAGTCCTTTCCTTGGTTACCATCATTTCTGTCCAGGCCTGTTTCGTTAGTTAATTTTTTTTTTTATCATTCTGTAAAGGCATGACTACAAAGCAATGTCTATCTTTTAAGTGTTAATGTTCATAGATTGTTTTCATTTATTATTACTTTTGTCAGAGTCAAGTTATTAGTGGAACCAACAATTGTGTCCAGATGTGTATAACGGAATAACAGCCCATATTGTTAATTTGTTAAGATACACTGTAAAAGAGCCAATAATATGGCTTCTAGATGAGGTAAAACTGGCTGGCTGAGGTTCAAGGGAGGAAGGAGGAGGATTTAAGTGACTAAATCTGGCCTGATTGATGGCATCAACAGATGGGTTGGCCTGAGTATTTTAAAAGTTTATGATCCATTCAGTTGCCAGTCCTCTGTTGGGGTTGCCCGGGTGGTGTCAAAGGTTAGAGGACACTAAGCCGGCTGGTTTGAGATCATAGAAAGGCAACAGTAACCAGACCTGAACAGAATACCAGCTCTGAACACACAGTGCGTTCTATTTGACACCAGATGGCCTACAGCAGCAGGACGCCACTCCTGTTAACTAAGACGAGGAGTCTGAGATTTTCCAACAGGCTCAATGGTCTGACAACAAGTTTTTTTATATTCACTCTTTATAATGAAAGTTGGTAATGTCAGTAAATCGGTAAGACTAATTGGTAAAATATTACACTCAAAGTTTGATACGAATTAAAAGGGTTATCTGAATCTATTATCTTTCAACATGAAAAAGCTTTTTACAGAATACTATAGAACAGTCAATTTATTTCTAGATTTTTATTTTCAACAGGCATGGTTAAAAAAAGAAAAAAAAAAGTCATTTTTTAAGACAAATAAAACACCAGTGAACTTAATTTTATGTTTTTTATTGAGACTTTGTTCTCAGTCGAAAAAACTTGACCTGATTGTTAGAGTGCTCCGCTTGCAGGACACTGACTTCATTCAAAAGTCAACGGCCCATTGCTGCAGTGAGCCAGTAAAAAACAAAACAAATACCTGAACATCACAGAACTTAGGCAGACTTAGAAGTTATCGCCAGTGGTTATAAATGTTGATAGTGACGATACATAACAAATGTGTGAGAGGAGAAAACTTTAAGGGAGCAGTCATTTTTAAGAGCTGCTTAATGAATTTTGCTTGGCACACAAGTGAGTTAGTATATGAGCTAAACCAAATAATACTCTAACATAAAAAATACAGTAAAATCAGTCTTCAGAACAGAAGTAACATATGTACACACAATCACATGCACGCACAATAAATGATTATGAAAAAAAGAACAGAGGGGAAGCAGCTTTTACGATTCAACCAAGTGTCTCTTAAGGCTAGTATTAGATTGGATCAGCCAGGTGGACATCCTGTTGTTCTTTAGGTTCTGAGGTAAGATGGCAGAGGTGATCCAATCTAGAACCAACTGTGCCTCAAACTTAGTTTGAATCCTTCATCTTTTGCAAAAGCCTCAAATCTATGTTTAGAACATAGAGTTTGTGACATTATGGAGCAGAAAGAAAAAGTTGCAAAGTGTCACTAAAACGTTTTATTGCACTGAAGCCAAATGGTCCATGTGATTATTAGAATCTAATATGTTGTTCTGGTTCCAAGCAACCATATCACTTATGAAAACATGTTTTTTTTTTAACTTGATGTACTGAAGGACATCCAAGTAGATAGATAGTAGTGTTCTCTGTTTTGGCCAAATTACACAGCCCAGTGCATTTGAAACAAAAACAAAAAAAACTGCAAATCTAACAAAAATAAAAGATCAATTTCTTGCACAGGCTATAAAGAAACAGCAAAGTGTGGGAGAAAAATCAAATAGAGTCAAATAGGAAGATCAACATATTGATAAAGCTTACAGATGTAGGATGTTGTTATATGGATGATGAGACACATTCGAGAAATTAAATAAATTATTGTCCGTGGCGCAGGATTAGGTGAGCTCATCTTGTTCTACACTCTGTGGAAGGAGTCATCAGTGTGGTGAAAAAACACAAGATGAGCACACAGTCTGTCTGTGGAGGCAGCTGGGTGTTAGAACTCGTCGTGTCGAGTCAGAGCCTCCCCAAAGTCGGTGGCCTGGCTGCCAACAAACAGGTCGTACTTGTCGACGATTTCTTCCTTTGTCAGACGGCCATCCTGTGGAGGAGGTAAGAGTCAAATTTAGCTCCCACCGTAATAAAAAATTGACTCATTTCTATACTGTGACCAGCTTATGCGTTACATACTTTATCTGCATCGGACTCGTACACGAGATGCTTCGCTTCGGCCTCGGCATGGTCATAGTCACTGGGTAGGATCCAGTCTCTGGTCTCCTCCTTGTCCATCTTCCCATCTTTGTTTTTGTCTCTGAATTCAGTGAACTGCTCCTTCTCAGTCTTCACCCACTCAGGCTCTGTGTTGTCTCCATCCTGGTTGTACATGTCGCCTGGAACAGGAGACAACAAAACAAAGGATATTAGAGGTGATAGTAAGGCAAATACAGTATTTAAACTTCCAACATATTTCATTGTGAATAATGTCATTAACCAAGGCAAAGTTGTGCATAATTGTGATATGAAAGGAAAATTCATTCAAAAAAAGTTTTCCAAAACATTTTACAAAATAAAAGTCCCAGAACTGTGATGTGCAAATTTGATTAACCCTCAGTTAATCAAAATACTACAAAGACTTAATGCATAAAAAAGTACTAATACTTTTTTTTTTTTTTTTACCTTACTTAAGTAAAAGTTTTGACTATCTATACTTAACTGGGCTAATTATTGTTAGGACAACTTTTCACTTCCATTACTTACATTTTAATGCAATTTCCTGTACTTTGTAGCCCTTACATTCTAAAAATAGACAAATTCTTTCTATTTAATTTCAGCTAGATTTGATCAAGTCAATGTTTAAAAAAGAAACTATCCAGATGGTTTGCTCCATCTAGATGGTGAGGGGGGATTGTGACCAGAGGCGGTACTGCCAAGTAGTTTTTACATGAAAAATAAAGAAAAAAACCTGGAGCATATGAAAATGAAGAAGAGCATCATGTGAGTAGTTTAGCGTGAAGGTGTTTGTATCAAGGGCTATATAGCTATATTGAGCCAAATGTGCTAACCAAAGAAAGGAGTTTGGTAGCCAAGAAAAGCAGACTTATAAATCCATGTAATTGGAAGGATTTTTAAGGTGACTCGATGCAGAGTTGCATATGGCATTGACTATAACATCTACGAAGCACATAGTGTGATCTTTCGCACTATTAAAATACTTAAATCCAACCAGTCATTGTACCTTTGTCTTTATGAATCATATGTTAATGCCCAACAGTACACATAATAAGATTTACGTTTTACTGAATAGTACCAATTTTTAATAAGCATAAATGTGAGTGAAACATGTAGGATTCTGAGTCTCAATTTTTTCGACATCTTAATATAAAACACTGTAATTGTTATAGCCTGTATTTAACTTGTTCCTTTCTGTACTTGATGGAATTCTCTTCTTCTACACATCAATTCAACTTTTTAAAGCAGTTCAGAAACTAGTAATTTAACACTTTTACTTAAGTAAAAAGCTGAAATAAACACTTTTGTTTTGGTTAAAAAAACATAAATACTGTTGACACCTCTGTTTCTCTAGTCCTACCAACTGCTTTTAATGAGGCACAACTATCTAGCCGCATAAACCATCATCTGTAAAGATATTTCTGAGAGTTCAAAGTGTAAACAGGCTTTAAGAACTCACCTATGTATTCATCCAAATCAATCAAACCATCACCATTCTTATCAATGTCTTCCATTGTTTCCTACAGAAAAAATTGGAGATGTAAGCATGGAGAAAAGTCATCAGTTTAAACCTGTATGAGAGTGAGACTCACCAACACCACAATGTCTTTCATGTGATCATATTCTTCAGGGTGAAGAAAAGCTGTGAACTCCTCCTTGTTGGCTTTCATGTCTTTATCAAGGTCGGCCATCTTGAACCTCCTTTCATCACGAGCCATCATCTGCCTGTAGCTGAAGCCGTCTTCTGGATCGGAATCATCTGTAGTTTGAAAGACCCATATTTTCATTTATTTTTTATTTTAAACTACTGTCCAAGTTTAGGAAAGGGAATGCTTCGCTAAAATAGTTTCCATAGAAAATATCTGAAATGTTTAAACACCGCAACATTAATTACCAAGAACGTATCCATATGTGGCATTCTTGTACTCTTCCCAGGACACCATTCCATCCCCGTTGAGGTCATGGCTCTTCCACTGTCTATCCACATCGTCATAGATCCACCTCTTCTGCGCATGCTTAATCCACCTCTTCATCTCCTCCACTGTCACAAAGCCATCTTTATCCTCATCTATGCGTTCTACCAACATCCTGCAGAAAAGTTTTTAACAACACAATTATACTTTGAAGAGTTTAAGAAGTCAAAGAAAAGAGCAAACATAACATTAAAGGAAACGCATAAAAGCATGATTTTTAATTGCTATAGTTACTTATGACTGTTAAAACTTACTGAATGTATATAAAATAGGTCTAAGATTCTTACCCAAGCCTCTCTTTGCTTTCTTCTGGTGTGAGTTGGTCAAAGGTCTTTGCCTCATCTTGTCCCAAAAAGGCTTCGTGGTCATAGTCAAAGTTCTCGGCATCATCGTGCTCTTTGTTGCTCAGAGGGTCATCGTGGTGGATACGGTCCTTTTTTTCCGTGGGTTTACTGGTGGCGTAAACAACGCAGAGAGCGAAGCACATCACAAGCGGTCGCAGCTCCATTCTGAGTTTGTTCAAGCGCTCTCTGCAACAGATAATAAAGCAGAAGTCACAGGAAAAAAAAGGCTGCAGTCATTGTTCAGTCTGATAAAAGCGTCAGCGCATCACTCTTATTTTGGTTTAAATTGTACTTTTGGAAGATAGCACACAATCTCGCTGCACTTATCTCTGCTTTTAACCCAACGCTTCAGAGGACAAGAGTATAACCAAGACTGTACCCAAATACCAAAGATATTGTTTATCTTTTTAAGTTTATACAGTCCTCATATCTTCTACATTTAGTGCTAGGATATAGCAGGCAATATTAAATATGCAACTCAAATGAAAAATTGTCTTATGCCAACTGATCGAGTTGAGGTGACAAACTAATGAGCATGATTGATTTCTTAAAAAAAGTCAGGCAAGCAGCTTTAAAGATTATTGGAAATAATATTTTATATCAAGAAAATATAGATCGTTGAGAAGGGTCTGATCTGGCTTTGCATTAAAATAAAAGACAAAGTTAAAGTTTAGTGAAATAAACACAGAAGGGGGGTTAGATTAGCATTTGGAAACAATATTGCCACTGGAAACAGAAAAGTGCAAAGTAAAACCAAAAACAAAGGTAAAGCTAATTAGGTTCTGCAAATCTGTCCATATATGCAAAATCATTAATAAATCGCCGGAAAACTAGTTCTAAAATCAAATAGACTATGAATGATGGAAAGTGATAGTTTACAATTTAAAAAAAGAAAAATAACTTATTTGTAGGATAAATATATCTGTTCTCTGGCATATTAACCTTGGAAAATGAAATAAAGTAAACATTACAATGCTGATAGAAACTGTCTGGAATCTTTCTTGAGAATTATTTCGCAAGTCTTTTTGCTTGTATTCAATGTTTCTAAAGTAAAATCTAACAATTTGACAGGGTATCAACAAAACCAGAAAAGGACCGTCTATAATGCTCTGTATTTTAATTGTTGCAATTGCAGAACTTAAAACTTGAAATAAAGAAATATAAGAATCTGCCACGTTTGTAATCCAAGTTCATAAAAACAGTCAAGGCCAATATTAAGGTACAGCATTTAAAATTGGGAAATTGTTGTAATTCTATTTACATAAAAAAGACAAAATCTGTAATCTAAAATAAAAATTCTTCTTACAATTTGGCTTCATTTAGTTATTTCTTTGAGATATATTAATACAAGTTAAGAGAGGGTTATTGGTGGTTAAATAACTTGATGGAAACCTTAATTCAAATCAGGCTCAGTACTGTAGAAACAAGACAAAAACAAAAAACATTAAAAAAACAACATTGTGATTTAAATAAACAGGTGTTGTTGGTCTGACTGCTACCATGTCTGACCACTTTCACTGAGAACAAATTTAAAGCTCAGCCAGATTCTGCTTCAGGAAAAGGAAGAACTGAACTGATGTGAAACACATTTATGGTTTATAAAAATCAAACCTACCTAAAAATAAATAAACAAAGAAATAAATAAAGAAAGAAAGAAATAAAGAAAGAAAGATAGATTACTTAATTGTTCCACTGGCTCTGGTGTTTCCAATTTAGCTATTTATCTAACATACAACAGTATTGTGACTAATAAGGACAAAATATTTAGAGGAACAAATATTTTATTTACTATTCATCCACTTTTCACTTCAGACAACTACCCTCATGCAGCTAAATAATGGCACTTAGAATTTCCAAAAACTTATGCCAACAGTTAAAGTTTTAAGTTTATTAAGGTATTTGTTTTACAAGCAATAATACGTACTGAAAAACAAAAACACAACGTAAAATAAAACGTTTTTCCCCCCTAGAACTCTCTTCATTGGGTCGGCTATAGAGTCATAGATTAATGTTACCATAATGTTTAAAACGTCCTTATTCGCACACAGTGGGTAGTTTCTTTTGTTATTATAAATATAGCGGATTACAACAGACCGTTATTTTCAATCCAAGCAACAATTACAACCAAATGCTGGTTTATCCAGTCTGGCTAACACAGAACCTCTCCTGTTTTACCCTCAGTCTTGCCATTTCCATCCTTAAACCAGTAACAATTAATATCTGTATTATAAATCATAGCATTTTTTCAAAAATTGTTACTCCACAATTTAACTCAAAGTAATTTATTTCATCTTATTCCATAATTTAGTAGGAAAACTCACCGGTTTCCTGTCTGGGAGTTCGTCGTTAACGGTTAAGGCCCGCCCCTAGGAAACACTCCCATGCACTTCCTGTGGACAAGCGAGAACTCGACCAATCAGGCTTCGAGAAGGCGAGTGTGATGTCGCCGTCTGATTGGTCCACTTCAGGGGAGCACTGTTGATTGGATTGGCCGAGAACCGCCACGTCCTCAAAGTCAATAACATGTAGTTCATTCATAAAGTGAAACTATTTAGAAGCTTCTTTGAATAGAGAAAACTATTCCTTGATAAATAAATAATAGAAAAAGATTATTTTGTTTTATGGCCCTATGCTATATACAAATTTGTCAGTTCAATAAGTAAACCTTCCGAATAAGCATTTTGGAGTCCTCTTGTGTAAAGGTTATGGTAAATTGGTATATTAATCCAAAATAAAGTTATAGAATATAAAAAAGTATTCACATTGAAATAATTTCTGAGGAAGTAATCGACCAATCGACCAAAGCTGAAAGCTGTAATTTTGCATTGTTTAAATCAATGTACTGAAGTAGCATTCTTCTTTTGATGTTTTTCTTTCATTGGTCAATTGATGGTGAAAAAAAAACAAATGACAAAATATACAACTCATTCTTAGGAAACATTGATTATAACTAACAATAAAAATGCATTTTTGGACCACAATCATCTACCCTGAAGTAACCCTAATTTATATACTATGCTTTCATAGGTAAAAGCAAATAGCCAAACAATATGGGAGCATCAATTTAACGTATTTGCATTAAAATATGCGTTAATGGTAGACTTGTATTGAAATAGATATCCTATTTTATATTGTACAATGAGTCAATTAATTATGGTGCAAAAGATACTTGGCGTTTCGGTGCATCAGATGTGGGCATCAAAAGCCCTGAAACTTGATCAAAACAGCAAAATGTAAATATACATACAAATTTAAATGAAACAAATTCAGGATTTAGCCGGTGTATTTGAGAATTTCTCTTTTAGATATTCAGCAAAAACTGTAGTTCAATGTCTTCTGCAGCTGATTTCCTTTTAGAGATCTTTAAAGTTTTTCTGTTATGCGTTAAGTGAAAAAAAGAAGGCTCAAAGTAGAGGAGGCATAAAAGTATTTTCCTCAAAAATTTGTAACAGATTTTCAATTTAAAAGAAAAACAACTTCTGTTTTGCTGTACAAGTGTATAAACATATAAACCAAGTCCTTAAATGTGCGTCTGAAGCAGATTCCTTATCCTCTCTAAGGGAGGCACAATATAAAATGTCCATCTCAGCCCATTGCAGAGTCCTCCAAATCTGTGTTGTTCCGACTTTCTTCTATCTTGTTATGTGTGTCGTCTTCCTCAGCTTGATTAGACAAACAGGTTGAGTCTTGTGTTTTGTCATCATGACCTTCTGCTAGGGAACAAAAAGGCAATCTTGACTTTTTAGCAATATTATATATTACTTATATTACTACAGGCATTACTGTGATTTATTGCTGATAGAAAAACAAATTGGTTTAAACAGCTGATGAAATAAACACTCAATATAAACTCAATTTTGCAACAGATTAGCATAAGCATTTCTTTAAGAGAGAAATCAAAGATTTTTTTAGTAACTAAAAACCAGATAATCTGCCTGACCTGTAACCACGTTACCCTCCTTTTTCTCAGTGAGGAAGATTCGCTGCATCCGCAGCTTCTTCACTGTGTTGCACATGTATTTGAGGCCAGGACTGCTGGTTGCTTTTCCTGCAGGAAAAAAAAAAAAACACAATTCCACACTCCTTTGAGCATTACTCATTTACAGAATAAATGATGGGCATTTAAATCACTTGAGCAGATTTTCACCTTTTTTTGGTTCCTCTTCAAAAAGTACACAAGTTCCCAAAGTGTCTGAAGAGAGGATAAGATGTTAAGAATATTTCACTTTACAGTATGCTTTTAAAAGATAAATGTTTGATAATACTCTGAAGATGTTTTTTTTTTTTTTACATAATCTATTTTTCTAACACTTTGATAAATACAATTTTTAAAGCCTACAAATAAAGATCAAGGCAATTAAACAAAGTAATAAAATCAGCTTTCATCTCAAAATTCTGACTTCCCTTCTACGCCCATTTTCTTTTCAAATATTGACCCTAACATTTTAGCTCAGACTGACCCTTCTGGAAAAAAAAGAAAAGAAAAAAGAAATCTAGCAAAGTGGGCTAAATTACCACTATAATCACTAAAAAGAAATCTTAAAAAAATTACCTGGGAGTGGTGTGGATTTTACAAATACATACATACATACATACACACACACATACATACACACACACACACACACACACATATACATATATATTCTATGTTTGCTCTTACCTTCATATTCCCCTGCAAATACATACTGTCCAACTTGCATCATGGGCCTTTCACTGTCTACATCCTATATAAGATATGCAGGAAAAATAAAATTGAAATTCTGAAGTTTATAGAGTTATCCAAAATTTACTTAAATCCAAAACTGAAATGATCATAAATCATTTAATAACCAAAAGCTCACCAGTATCTTACAAGTGCTTTGACACTTGGACAGAAAGTCATTGTTGATTATTCCAGAGAGTTCCACCACAACAAGCTGCTCCTACACACAACAGGGCAAATTAATGTGCTGGAATAAGGAACTCTAGTTTACAGTAAAAACAACTTTTTGTAATGCATGCATACAAAATAAACCTGAGAGGACATGCAGTTTTGTAATCAAGTCTGGCAAAATTGACACTTAAGTTAGAGCCTGAATTATAGCTGCAGATTTGGAGCTCCATTAAAGGGTTATTTCACAGCATTCAATAACTCTGGATAACCTTTGATTTGCTTTACCTACAGTTCAAAGATGGATGATTTGTATCAAACACGTTGCATTTTCTTAATTTGATAAAACTAATTAAGCGTTTTAAAAGCGCCTTTGGCTTTTCACCAGCTTAACATAGGATTATGTTGAAAATCTACAATAAAAGGTCGTCAAAAATTGGCATAATTGAACAGGTTTCATCTCGTTATAAAACCTTTATTCACATTATTAATACCATGGAGATTATTTAAGAAAATGGTTTTTTAATTTGAAAAACTGGGCAAAATTTTTATTAAAAAATCTGGTTTCACACATAAAAAGGCTAAATTGATTTTCAGAGGATGAACTGCGTTTTGCAGAGTGTCCAATGCGTCTCTAAATATCCAAATCTGGTTTAAAACATTAAACGCATTTTAAATTTCGCGCAGATTAAGTGACGTCACGTTCACTAATTAGGAAGCTACGAATCGGATAGCAACTTTAGCATCCAAATGTAAAAACATATAATAAACATTCACTGTGTAATGAGAACAAACGGTCAAACAATTCTGGAGTTATGCTCAAATAACATTCGTTTATATAACGTGAACAAAATGCAACAAACAATACAATAAACTATTAAAAACTAACATTATCCAATTTCTTTGGCTATTAGCTGCGTTAGGCTAACAACGTGACTACTATCTAAACAAAATGCGATCAGTTACTGTGATTAATACCTCTTCTTCCCATTCATCTTCCATCTTCAAACACTTGAAGTAGAGCAAAGATATAACAGATTACAGAGATCACAAGCTATCATGAATTGTAGGATTGTATTGTGATAAGTACGGTGGCCGAGAGGAGACTGTTTTTGTAGGCGAGGAACTCCAAGTGACATCTTAATCCACTAGAGGTCACTGTTGTTTCGTTTTTTTTGTTTTGTTTTTTTTTCATAAAGGTAAAATGATGAAAATAATAAACCGTGGTTTTGTACATTTCCTATTCTAA